TCAAATGAGAATGCCGCTCTCTCAGATTCGGTGACTCGTTACGCAATTTGCGGTCCTCCATTTCAGAGAGGGGGCAGCTGTTTTTGTTCTTTTTCTTTCGGCGGACCGCCTATATCGAGACCATTAAAACAGGCTCGCAAGAAGCTGTGAGATGTTATCTGCAAACCACAGTATGCTTTTTTAGGCCTATTAGGTGCTCTCTTCAATCTTTTTTCCATAACAAAAATTAAGAATTCCCTGTAATATTTACTCTCACATTCTGTTTATCTTCTACCGATGGCGCATTAGATCCTATTTGTTGCCACTAGGGTATCAAATTTTCCTTCTGAAACGTACCGACCATTTGAAAGCGTTCAAATAGTATTGATAGGTATATCGGCGGAGCCCCCCAACAGCATCACCCAATCGGAAGTCTTGAGTGGGAACAATAAGATGTCGATTGGGGTGAAGTGTGGATTAACACACTTGAGAATAAAGAGAGAAAACGAAGATGGTCAGAAGTCATATGGTCATTTCTTTGCTCCTTATTCGAACACAGATGCTAGCATCGTTTCTTCTCAATACATCAGTCCGTAGTTTGACCGAAACATTGACACGGATTGCCCCGATATTTGATCCCCGTCAAGCGAAAGGTCGTAAGAGGTTCCTATCGCCAACCACAACTTTTTCATCTTTTCCCTTCTTCTTCTCACCGCAGTCTATGGCTTCTTCAGGATTCCGGGTATCCGATTTCTGAATTTCCACCTCATTCGTAAATCTCGAAGAACATTATCGCCCCGCAAAATACAAATATCGTTGTTTTTTCTTAATATGTTTTCGAACAGTTGTGTTCTTTCTGAATTTGTATCCGTGTAGCTCTCTTTTTGTCACCCCGTTCCATCCCATCCCACCAGCTCTTTTTTGTTTGCTCTGCGTATCTTCCCGACTTTCTTTTTTTGGGAGTTTTCTTTTTTGCACGAAGTGGGTTCCTCCTATGGATCGTCCTTCTTGTCAGAAATCATTGTCTGTGATGTTTTTTTTCTTGCTTTCTCTCCGTATCAAGTTCATCTTCTCGGTAACAAGTTCTCCCCTTTTTGTCGTCGGTGTTTTTCAAAGAAGGTCATCATGGTAGTTTTAGAAGATGTATAAGTATTTGGTAGATAAATACACGTGTCAGCTGCTTCTAAACAAGAAACCACAGAAACCTGTCACCTCATCAACTCGTCAATTTTTGCTCTTTCTCTCGCATTCTGCTTATCATATCTTTTCTGCCGGTTCGAACATCCGAAAAATTCAAAAGGAATCCTTCTCTTTTAAATAATTCGTACTGCTCTGTTTTATCACCTCATCAATCAACCTTTTTCATCCGTTCGTTTGTTTGTTATCGTTCCTCGCCGATAGCAGTAAATACACCACAGTAATCGGATTATTTTAATTTTTGTGTTCTCCTTCTCCTCATTTCCTTGTGCCGTCCCAACTCGACTCTTTTTTGTTCAAATGCCCAGTACTTAGTTCTAGCTCATTTCCTCCTATTTTCACTCCATTTTCTTCTGGAGCCACAACACATTCTTGCCCTCGTTCGCACCATAAAATGTGATGCTCTTTGGGGAATTTCGAATTTTCTCACTTCTTTATTATATGAGCCTTGTTGGTGCTGCTCTCTTCTGGCGCCTTTCACCAAGTTTTGACTCCTCAAAAACTTTGAGAAGTCGAACGAAGAAACTTTTTGAGTGTTGGGAAAATTGAATTGTGGCCATATATAGCTCATATAACTTAAGAATAGGGTCCTAATTTATTACTGACAATATATTATTTCCTGTCTAAAAAAGATGTGCTAGAACCAATTGTTGGATAATCTAGCACCGAAAAAATTAGGTTAAATCGCGCCGAAGGCGCACCAGCCAGATGTAACAGACTGGTCTAGAACTCTAACTCTGCTGTCTCTCCTGACCAATTCTATTATTCTTCTTCTTCATATTACATAGAAAAAGAAGAATAAGAAGAAGACGTTTTCATATTCTCCATGATTGGCGTCCTCGAATGTATCCGTCGTCGATCGTTGCCCTATGATTTGGTTTCCTTTTGCCTCATCTTCTGCTTTTTATTCAATTAATTTTGCATTCAGTGCCCCCCTCCTCTCAACCCACTTGTTATTCTTTTGCGATCCAACAAGGTCGAATTTTTTTCCACAAAAAATCTCATTCGTATTCTTATTCGACCCGACAACGAGCCATACGTCCTTGGAGCCTCGTGTCGTTATGATGGATGATCTTCTTGGATGTTCTCTTGCAAGTGTTAGCAGCCATTTGCCAATCAGATTGCGTCTCGAGAACGATTTGTCGTAAATCAGTCGTGCCGTTTCTTATCTAACGATGTCTTGTGTTCTTTATATTCGCTTTCTACTCATCAAGTATTCTTCACTTTTCAAAAACTTCTCTTTTCACGAGCCAGGCATCCTTGCCACAATTGAGAACGTTTCTCAAATCTTTACAGCGAATCCTTAAAGTGAGTTCGTTACGACCAATTTTCAGACCATTTTAGAGTTCATTTCACCTATTTTTGAACATTTTCAAGCTTTTCTAGGCGGATTTTGAGGCATTTTCAGTATACATCCTTCTGGCGTTTCCTAGCCGGTTTTTGACCTGTTCAGGCCATTTTAAGCGCTTTTAGGCTATGCTAGACTGTTTTTTGCTCTTTTCAAGCCTATTTTGACCTATATCAAGCTTTTGAGCCCAATTTCGAACTATTTTGTGTATTTGCACCCTTCGGCGTTTCTAGGCCGACTCTGGACTGATTTTGACCATTTTCGGCGAATTTTGACTCATTTGAACATATTTTAGGTTATTTTTGACTATTTTCAACCATTTTCAAGATGTTTGACCCAGTTTTGATCATTTTCAAGGTTTTCTAGGCCAATTTTGGACAATTTACAGTACCTTTTCTGTGAAGTGGGAAACATAGAATCATGGTTCTAACATCCCATTCCCATTGCCTGCCCTGATCATCAGTGTTTCATACTCATTTTCACCGTTTGATCCTCCGAGTAGTGTATCGAAAAGAATCCATTAACTCTCTTTAATGAGGCTGAATCGCTCTCCTCGCGCATTTCACTCAATTGCCCCTCGCTTCTCTGTCTCAGACCCCAAGTTTCCGTTGTGTTTGGTTTTGTAAGAATAGACAAAAAAAAGCAAAGAAAGAGCGAACGAACGGACACAGTAGTAGATGAAGAAGAAGTCGTTTCTTTGCAACCAATAGCGTCTTCTTTTTATTTCTTTTCTTTTCGCCACCGTTTTCGGCGGGCCCGATGCTGTGAGGGGTCACTTGGAATTTCGATTCCAAGTCGTCCGTTCGTTTCGCCAACACGTTTCGGCTAGAGTGCCGAGTCTACTCGAAAATCGATGATTTTTGTCGACATTGAAAATCGACACAGTCGACGTTCAACAATTCGACAAGGCTATTTGTCGATGAAAATCGAACTTTTCGTTGTCGATTTTTGTCGACTTTCAGTCGACGAAAGTCGACGAAAATCGATTCTTGTCGGTTTTGCGTCGACGGAAATCGACAGAAATCGACAAGAATCGACTTTTGTCGATTTTGCGTTGACTTAAATTGACAGAAAAATCGACAAAAAGTCGACAAAAGTCGACGAAAAATCGACTTTTCCGGACTGCAAAGTAAAATTTCACCTCGAGAAAATGTTTTCTAATTTTTTGAAGAAATCATTTTTTGTGTAGAGTAACAACTTTATTTTTATGAATAAAAAAACAAATAATGTAAAACATAATTTCAACGGGATACAAAATAGAGAATCAGTATGTCTCAGAAGATGGCAAGGAAAATAGAAGAAAATTCAAAGCGACAAAATTTTGAAAAAGAGAAGAAACAGAAGAACAAAGTTCGGCATTAGGAATTAATGTTTCATTATTTGGGCCAAATCGTTTCCAAAAGTATCATCGTTATGCTCTCTGGATTCGTAATATTCTACGCCTTCTGAGTCATCATTCTCGTCATCATATTCGTACTCTTCTGTTGTTGACGTATTCTTCTTCGTAGATCTGAAGAAAAATCAGACTTTGAGGAAAAATAAGCTTTAATATCTTACTCCAAAGTGATTTTTTCCAATTATTTGATGCCGTGGCTCTTGATCTTTATGTACTATCTAAGATTAAGAATTTAACCAAAAATATGTAATTTTCTGCTTACCGATCTTTCCATTTCTTCAACTTCTTTTTCGTGGTGACTGTTTAACTTCTGATGCATCGTTGTGGTCGGAGAATGGAACTTTATGCTCCTTCCGCACAGTTTACAGGTCATAGTTTGTCCGTTATTTTGTTTTTCGAAGTATCGCCACGCTTTAGATTGATTTTGTGACGAATTCATCTGCAATAAGCAAGAATATCATAAATGAAACAGAAAAAAAACAAAACACCCAAAAAAACAAGAAAAATACGGTTTTTCAGTGGAAAATTCGATGAAAAATGCCTGTTTTTCATGAAAAATACCCCGGCCACAGGCAGTTTCTAGGTCACCGGCCGTGTAGTCCTCTCGGACAATAAAGTCGACAAAAGTCGATTCTTTCGTCGATTTTTCGTCGATTCTTGTCGATTTTGAGTCGATTCAAAATCGACAAAAATCGACTTTTGTCGATTTTCACTTTCATCGACTTTTGAAAAGTCGATTTTCTGTCGACTTTTTGAATGTCGATTTTTGATCGAGTCGACGAAATCGACACCGATTTTAACGATTTTCGTCGATTTTTGTCGATTGTCAACAATCGACACAGCACACTAGTTTCGGCACCTACTCTGTCAAGGCGGCAGCCATGACACTTCCCGAAAAAAACTGTTCTTTTTTCACTTTTCTTCGATCGCTTGGATCAGATGTGTTTGCATTCTTTTCAATCTCTTAATCATTGCTCTTTTTCGATAATTTCTCTTCGTTCTTTTACTCTTTTTAGCACATTTTGCTCTTCCAGAAAATCTGTCGGTTATTATGCACTTTTGACCCCATAGTCTTTGAAAATGCCGCTGATTCGAAATTATGACTACTATGATCTCATCGAAGTGGCACCAGGCCCATCCCGACCAACTATGCCAGTAGTATCCAATCATAACTACTTTGGAAGCGCTCGACAAGTCCCATCAAAGGGTAAAATATACTATGGAAGAAATGAATGGAGAGGTGGAAATCTGAATTCAACGATTCACGATCCAACAGAGTTTGAAGAAATTGTTGATTTAAATGCGAATGATGCTGGAGACGATAAACGAAAAAAGAAACGATGGAGGGATCTTTTGTTTCCAACAAAAAATCGACACTCTTCTAGAAAAGACAAAGAAAACTCGAACGTCGCCGTGACGACTCGAAGCTTGTCATCCGTCTCCTTCAGATCTGAGAAACCTGAAAGAAGTCGGCGAAGAGAATCTGGATCACTCTCCCGACATCGATATATCCCACCACCCCCTCTACCAATGCCCCCACGAAGAGTCATGACGAGCGCATCAATTGTATATTCTGATGATGCGATGACGTCTTCTTCGTCGCACACAACCACAGACTATGACGATATGACTCCCGTACCATCTTATGTGATTTATCCAGCTTCTTCTATTGCTCATGCAAGACGAAATGGTTCAAAAGATGTAACTATTTTACCTGCGGTCTATATGGGACCGGGACGAAAAGCCGTGGGAACTAATCCTAAACTGTTCAGGAGTCCCACTTATCATCACGGTTGGTTTGTTTGGGAAAGAAAGAGCATTCAGAAAACCAAATTTAATTTTTTCAAAATCTAGAAATCGAGTACTAAACTATTTTTCTTTCAGATGCATTTGTCAATTCACATGAATGGACGTTAAGCAGGCTGGTCAGCGAAATGAAATTGGTACGTTGTTTTCTCCTTTATCATGCCGCATCCAAAGTTTCCGAATCTGGGATTTCTGGGCTCAGATAGATGTCCAAAGTGACCTAAAAATTCCAATTCGTAAAGTTGAAACCAGTGTCAGAAACCCCGCTAAAATTTGTACAAATTCACAGGGATTAACATGTGTTTTTGAGGGTCTCGATCCTGCTAGAGGTTACTCTCGCACTGGTTTTGACTGCGAATGGCAAATCCCATATTTGAAGATTTTGGACGCGGCATTAGACACAGCTACTGTACCCCTCACTTTGGGTGCTAAATAAGATAATAGGCTAGCAGAATATCTAGTTTATGACATATGGTGAATCGTAGCCCTGATAATATTTGTAGTTTGCTCAAAAGGTGTAGAGTGTATTCTTTCTGATGGTTGGGGTTATTAGAAGAACCCACCTTACGCAATTCCCTAATCCCCATGTCTTCCCTTCCCATTGTTCTTCTCCCTATTGCGTCGGATGGCGGGAAGGTGTTCGTTACAAATAGCGAGCTAGATAATATCATATTGTTGCCAAGGTCTTTTCACCTCTTTGAGCATCCCGATGGTGTTGACAAATAGATGATCGACGGATAACAAAAGGAAGAACAGGTGTCACTTGGCAAACTTCGAACTCATATGAGACATGCTTGGATATTGCTAATCTCTATTGCGTAGGAATACCAGATGTTTCCATTTTTGTTCGTTAGATTTTTGAAGAGGGTTGTCGTTCTGTGTCACTAGATACAACTAGCTATTATAGGCACCTGCGTACCAGAAAATAGGGTTGTTACATGATGATTCAAAGTGGCTATGTGGCATTCTTCAAAACAATTTGGAGGTTGTGTATCATGAAAGAATGCTAATTGAGTCGGTATTTTCTCAAAGGGAACACCCGTTACGCAATTCTTCCGTTCTCCTGGAGAAATAAGAAAAAAGAAACGCCGGATTTCCTCTCTCTCTCTTCTCACTTTCGGCTCTTTGATCTCCACTCTCAAAAATCCCATTACAGTACCCCTATACAGTACAAAACCTCAAATTTCTCTCTCATATAATAAAACTTTATGATCTCTTCATCAACCCTCCTAGTCGAGGAGTCCTAAATTCAAATTTTTTATGACAGTTGTCGCTGCTCTCTTTGCTTTCCTTTTGTTTCATTATTACAAAACACGGGAAGTGGTACAACCATAGGAACACCTGCGCGTGAAGGGAGGACCTTATACACAAAGCGACGTTCAAATGGCCCGTGCTAGTAAGACGGTTACTAAATTAAGAAATTAGAGTGATCTTTGGCCTCTTAGCTGGGAAACGGACCACTTGCTAGTTTTTTAGACCGCCTCCTAAAAAGAGAACAAACAAATGGAGAACGGGCTGAAAGGGGGTATTCACAAACAGAGGATTATTTCATCTTGACGCTCTGTGAACGTATCTGATACAGTTCGATATTTTGTACACTGGGGTTTTTAAATTAACTTTTCCCATTCGCTTCAAATTGAATACTGTTAAATCCTCATCATTTCTCCATTTTTTTCAAAGATTCAGACTTTGATATTTCTTTCATCTGGCCATCTAGTCCCATCTGCTTCTATCCTTCCTTCTGCCTCATAAGCATATTGCGTGCTCTCTCCCCCACGCAATACTTCTCTTTCTTCTGGTATACAACTTTACAATATCCCTGGTTAGCAGGTGTGGTCAAGGGCGGAGTCAGCTGTTTGGAGGTGTTGGCTCTCCTTTCTCTCCCCCACGTATCTTGCCGCGCGTTACCATCCTAAGAATGACGGTCCCTATTCTCCTAGACTTCCTTTACTGGTATAAAACATTCGATCCTTCTTCACCCTTTACTAAACATCCGAAGTGTCATATTGTTAGTTTTTAGTTTTATGCTTCTGGGAATGTGTTCCCATTGTACTTACAATAAACTTTTTTTGCAGGGAATCGTTGGAACATCACAATCCGGGAAGACAGCGCTGGTCCACAGATATCTAACTAACACGTACACACCAGACGAGAGCCCCGAAGGTAAGTTCTATCCGTTTTATGGTTCATATAATAAGCCTTATTTTTTGTAGGCGGTCGATTCAAGAAAGAAGTTGTGATCGAAGGGCAGAGTCACTTATTAATGATTCGTGACGAAGGACAGCAACACTTGGACGTACAGTTTTGTCAGTGGGTCGACGCCGTCGTCTTCGTCTACAACGTCTGCTCAATTCAAAGTTACGATAGTATCACTGCATTGGCTCATGAGATGAGCAAATTTAGGAATATCAGTGATCTACCGCTCATTTTGGTTGGAACCAAGGTTAGTTTTGAATCTAGAAAGTTGTCTAATTGTCCACAGGTGCGTACCATAAGGTACTCTGTCGGATGTTTGACGCAAAAATTAAATAGGATAAGATCTGGTGAAGTGCTAATCCGGACCAATCTGTCGTAAATTATTTATTATTTTCCGTATATAGATAGTTTCCTATATAAGATAAAAGCTCCCCCTATCCTAACCGATCGCTAATTCCAGGATCACGTCTCCGAAAGAAGAGCGCGAGTTATTACTGAAGACGAAGGACGGCAGTTGGCGGCACAAATGAAGAGGTGCTCGTATTTTGAGACGTGCAGTAACGTTGGATCGAATGTTGAACGAGTATTCAAAGAAGGTGAGTATTGTATAAAGAGCAGCCTAGTAAATGGGTCACATATAAACATAGGTAAACACTTTTATCGCCTTTTTTGTGTCATTTATCATTACCCCTTTTTTTTGCACCGTTTCCTCCCACACTTTGTGTTCGACAGTGAGTCAGAAAAGAACGTTGTATTTGTTTCTACATGTTCACTCCCAAAAAGCCAAGCTAGGTTATTTATTACGGTTGCACTTGAGGTGTGTTGGGTGAAGGTTGCGCCATACCCGATTTAATGGCACGTGCCCCACGTAATAATGGTTCATGACCCAAAACGGGGGCTATAACTTATGACGTAATATTAGATTACAATGGTAGGAGTCTACTAGGAGATGGCATCCTGTGAAGAATTCAAATTAGCATAGAAAGTTGCGTTTGTTCGTATTTAATTGACTTGCTAGAAGTCAAGAAATCGTGGTTGATCAAATACAAATGTTAGGAAAATCTCGTAGTAGATTTCAGGCCCATTTTTTGGAACATTTTCCTTTAAATTCAGGAAGATCTAAGTAGCTCCAGTTCCCCCAAAAACAGATGCTTGAAGAGAGCTCTCGTTGACCCTAATTTTCAAGTTCCTGTCTTTCTCTTTTGTCGGCAGAACACAGATAAAAACCAATGCGCCGACGACGATGAATCTTGACATTTCGAGAAATTAAAGTGTTTTCTGTGTGTTGAGGAGAGTTGAGTTTTCGAGTAGAACACGAGATGCAAACACCCATCGCACCACCACTGACGAAGTTTACGAAAGCAAATATTGCAATGTTCGTTGGGATGAGGATGCGATCTTTGGAGAGAGAAAAAATGTAGAGGAAAGAGTATCGGTGTCATTTAGTATTTTAGATGTGTTCGTTGGTTTTCAGATACGCTTTTCAATCCTTTTTTTTTGTGAAATTTGTTTTCCTTGAGAACTGTAGTTGTACTGTCCATGGCCCGTTTTTGTGTGTGAAATGATTATCTCGTCAAGTGATCCGGTTTTGACCAGCCACCGTCGAACAAAAGATACACGGATGTTGTATATTTTTCGGTTGGCAAGCCTAAATTTCGAGTAGCCTCACTGGCAAGTGTCATGAAATCGTCACAATTAGCAGCTGCTGCGCCATATCCGATGCTGACCTGCAAATCTGACCATGGCGTGGTGAAAAGACGCGAGTAAATAGACCACTGCTTTCACCAGCGCTTTTCGCTTTCCATCGTCACCTCTCTCCCTCCCCACCAAAAGAATTCAGAGAAGCGTGTCAATCCTCCTGCCGTAATTGTTCGGTGTGAATATCCGATGCTTCTTCACGCACACACCTTTTCATAACTAACCACCACTTCGGTAGTATTCGTCTTCTTCTTTCTAATGCTTGCTTCTTCCTTTCTTTTTTCATTCAACCACCGCATTTTCGTTTTCTGTCAAGTAGTCCGATAGAAGAATCCCCGTGGGAGTTAGTGTCCTTTTCTTGACTCCCAACGCAGTCTGAAGACAAAGTAGTTTTAGTCTAAAAACGACGAGAAAATCCCGTCGAAAAGAACACTGTTTTTATCTTATCTCGTTGATGACCCTGAATTTTAGGCAGTTCGAGATGGTTATCGTCGTCTTATATTTCAAAAAGTATTGCCTTCCTTCCCAATTCATACTTATTCAATCGCCTTCTTATTACAGCGTGCTGCAAAATCATCCAAAGTCGAATACGATCACAAGTGGGCAACGCGGCCGCCGCCACCACTTCACAAGCCAGAACGCCAACTCCCACGCATTCGGATAGTGGACGAAAAGACTACCAGGATCCACGATACATTTCGAATTCATTTGCGATGCCGTCCAACATGCGACCATCATTCCCCACCAACAATTCCACCCGACGAAACACAGTTCATCATCGGGAACAACCACCAACATCCAGGACTGCAAGTGAACGATCCATGTCTGCAATGCTCGGTGCTCCGTATGGAAATCGAATGGCGGCTGGTGTATCTCCTTCTGCTAGTCAGAAGTCAGTTCATTCGATTGCCAATGGTTGCTATTCAAGATCCTCGGCGGCACTGCTGGATTCAGACACCCCTGCCGTCAATTCGTACTTAATCGACTCGATGTCATCCGTCGGAGGAACTCCTTATCAGAATAGTTCGAATCAAGTATCAGCATCCACTTCTCATCTACCAACACCATCATCAACACCCAACACACAGAGAAAGAATAGAAGGATTTCCAATATATTTGTGAGTTATTCAAAATTTTGGTTTTTAAGCATTTATTTTGTTTTCAGAGACAAAAAGATCACCAAGAAGAGAAGTCCAAAATGATTGAATCGTTGAATCTCGGTATTGGACGGGCTATTCCGATCAAACAAGGGAATCTTTACAAGAAGAGTTCAAAGTCGGCGTTGAATCGGTAAGATTTTAAGAATATTTCAGACACCTCAATCTGTTTAAAAATTGTGATGGAATAAAATTCTAAACGAAACCTTTTTTTAGTGAATGGAAGAAGAAGTATGTGTGTCTGTATAACGACGGTCGTCTGACGTATCACAATAATCTGAAGGAGTACATGGACAAGACGGCACATGGAAAAGAAATGGATTTGAAGTTGGCCACTATTCGTATCACTGGACGACTCCATCCACTTCATTCACATCGAGTCGGAAACGCCGGATCATCAACCGAAGGCAGTGGAACGCCTACATTGAAAAGTTACGAACCAAGAAGAAGCGACGTGGGAATGGGTGCCAATTCAGGAGATGGAACGTCGGGTAATGGATCAGATGATGCGATCAAAGAGAATCAACGACAACAGTTCTCTCCACCGGTGATGCCTCAAACTGTTGCTGGAAAAAAGAAACGGGAATCGAGGAAAATCGGAACGAATTCGAAGCACAATGATGAGGAGGATGAATGTTTCGAAGTGATAAACAATTGTCTAATGAGATGGGAATTCTGTGCTGGATCGTTAGAAGAAAGAGATGAATGGATTCAAGCGATTGGTGGGGAGATCGAGAAATCTCTTGGAAAAGAAGTGGCAAATGCAAAGACGAACAATAGAGCAGTTGCTGATCGTCCGGATATTGCTGCTCTCCGATCCATACCTGGCAATGAAAAATGTGCGGATTGCGGAAATCCAGCCGCTGAATGGGCATCCATCAATCTGGGAATTGTCATTTGTATCGAATGTTCTGGAATCCATCGAAATCTAGGATCTCATATTTCGAAAGTTCGAGGTTTGGAGTTGGACCAATGGCCTGTGGAACATTTGGCTGTGATGCAAGCGATAGGGAATGATAAAGCGAACGATATGTGGGAGCACAAGCTAGCAAATGAAAGGAAACCGGTGCCTGAGAGTTCTCGAGATGAAAAAGAACGATTCATCGATCGGAAATACGTCCAGAAAGCGTTCCTGAAGCCAATTCCATCTGGCGAATCAGTCACTTCTCAACTAATTTCTGCGGTTTTGGCACGTGATGTGATGTCTCTGAATGTATTGCTGGCCAACGGATTGACAGTGGATGAGATCAACACGACAACTAAAGATGGACGGACGGTTCTTCATTTGGCTGCTAGTATCGGCAGTGTCGAATTGGCTCAGCTGCTCATTTGGGTAAATTTATTTACTGTCAAGTTGTTTTTCTAATTTTTATTAATTTTCAGCACAATGCTGATACGCGCATTTTGGACAATAATGGAAGATCCTGTCTGTTCTATGCTCGATCCAACGGATTCAGAGATGTATTTGATATGTTGGTCACTGCTGGTCTCTCTCCTGATTACGGTTTGCCACAAGAGAACAATGACTACTCACAACTGCCAGAGGTAAACATATTTATCATAAAACCTGTATTAGAAGGGCCCTTCTATTACAGGGGCCCTTCAATTATTTGAGCAAGTTTCTTTTAAATCAAAAAAAGTGTTTCAACAAATTTCTATCAAATTTTGAAGTTCTCGGAATACTGAAAACGTAAGGACCTTATTTACAGGGGCCTTTCTATTTTTCCAAGCCCCTTTCGGAGGGCCCTTCTATTAGAGGGGCCTTTCTATTAAAGGGCCCCTTCTATTAGAGAGACCCTTCTAATAAATTGACGTTTTATAAGGGGACATTTTAATACATGTTTTACAGAAATTCTCAAAATAACACAAATTTCTAACTTTTAAAAATTTCAGTTCTCTGCAATGGGTTCCACATCGAATCGCGAGTATTCCATTTCTGGAGACGACACCTACTCCCTCCGTCGGATATCCATGGCTCCTCCACAAGTTCCAGCCCGTCGATATCTTCCCCAACAACCGGAACTTGATGAAACGAGTGTCATTTGAAGATATCCTCTAGTTTTAGTGCATTTCTTGTTCATATCAGCTCCAGTTCTCTAGTCAATTATCCGCTTAGTTCACTTTTCACCCTTTTTCCATCAGATCTCTTCGTCTCTAGTGTTGCCTTATCCTGCCTTTCAATTTCGCTTCACTTTCTGTCACTTTCCACCTCTCTCATTCTTATTTTTTCCAGAAAAGTCACCCTGTCGCTGATCATTCGCATCCTGTTTTCTCTGTCTCTCACTGTTTCATTTTTTAAATCTTTCTCATCTTTGCATTCGATATCCGTTTAATATGTAAGAATTATGCTCTTTCCGTGTTTTTTTGTGTACAATTTATTATCATGGATCTTTCAATTTGTTTTTATTCAAAAGTAAAATCACAAATTTAAATTTAAAATTATTAAAAATCGGGTCACATTGTTATTTTTGAAAAGACTTATACCAAATTCACGACCCAAAACATGAAAATCCACGCTTTTTCCATCAAATTCTTGCACTTGTCTAGTGAGAGACGAACAGTTTCAAAAAAAATAGCCTCGAGCCAACATTATCATAAAAGATGATGTCTTCGGATGAAACGGACGATGTGCTGCCGAGAGAAGATGAAATGCTGAAAACAAAAAAAGACAAGTACAAAGTGATCGCCCTGCTTGGAAAAGGAGGATACGGAGCAGTCTATTCGGTGCTTCGTCAGAGTGATATGGAGAAGTTCGCGATTAAATGTGAGAAGGCGTCGGCTGGAAAGAAGGTTCTTCTGATGGATTGTAATGTGATGAAAGGCGCGATTCAAATAAAGAGTCGTCATTTTTGTACGGTTTTGGATCGAGCAAACGTCAAGGATCGATTCAATTTCGTGGTTATGAAATTGATCGGAAAGAATTTGTGGGATTTGAGACAAGACCGTCCGGATGGTAGATTCTCGTTGGGTACAGCATTGAAGGCTGCCGCGCAGTGTTTGGTGTCTATCGAACATCTCCATAGTGTGAGTCAAGAAATGGATGGTATTATAATAGAGGAGTCTGACTAAAAAAAAGTTTGCATTTGCGAAAAAAACCAAATTGTCGATAAGCGCCGTTGAAAATAAAAAAAGATGGCGAATAGGGACGAGGATTTGAATTCACGCGCAGTAAGAAACCTTGGCCACAGCGACGGGACGCGTTCTTTACATAGCAACTTTTCAGGATTTTTTTTCGCTTTTATCTCCGATCCATTAAAGGAAGCCAGCCGTCGCCATGGCCTAGGTTAAATATAGATTTTGAAGAAATATAGATTTTGAAAGAAATTATGGCAGGGCCCGCGAAGGCCCGGCAAAGGCCCGGATTACAAGTATGAAAAAAATAAATAATTCAAAAAATCAAGAGTTCAAAAATTCAAAAATCCAGATTTTAAAAAATCAACTTTAAAAGCACAATATTCCCTTTAAATGGCGTTTTTCGAAGATTTTCAGTTTGGATATCTTCATCGAGACATCAAACCAGGAAATTTCGCAGCGGGAAGAACCGAATCCAACGAGCACCACACAATCTTCATGCTCGACTTTGGTCTCTGTCGTGAATTCGTGAAACGAGCCGAAGGTAAAGATATGAGAGCTCCACGTGGTACTGCTCCATTCAGAGGAACAACTCGGTATGCTCCACTGGCTGCAATGCTCCAACAGGATCAATCAAGAAAAGATGATATTGAATCGTGGTTGTATATGGTTGTTGAATGGACTTCTGGAGGTCTTCCATGGCGGAAATTGAAGGCTCATGATCGTGAAAAAGTGCTCACTTACAAGCAAGATGTGAGAACGAAGCCGGATATTCTGGATGATTTCTTTTATAATTGTCCAAAGAAAGAGTTTAACAGAATTCTGAAGGTCCTTAGATTGTGAGAATTTCCAGAAATATGATTTTGCTTGCAGTACGTCGATTCTCTTGGCTACTACGCAGTTCCTGACTATAAATTCATCTACTACTGTGTTCAACACGCTGCAACTGCCAACAAAATCAAGGATGATGATCCGATCGATTGGGATCCAGACCGCCCGTATTTCGGACCTGTTGAATGTCCAGGAGATGGGAAAGTGATCGATTTGGATGTGGAAGGTGGTGCATCGACCAAAGACTTCTCGAAGAAGCAGGCAAAAGAAAAAGAATTGAAGGAGAAGGATAAGAGTGATGAGACTAGAAAGGCCAAGAAGAAATCTGTAGCATCACCGAACAAGGAGAAGACAGAGATCAGGGATGTGAAGAAGTGATATAGGACTATAATTTTTTGTAATTGAATAAAATCTTGCTATTTTTTCGTTGCAGTAATAATAAGCATGATGAAGTGGGAAAGTTTTATGGAAAGGGTGGAAACGGAAAATTTAGACTCGATTATTTTTTTATGAGGCTTTGTACAAAATACACAGAAATACACAGAAAATACACAGAAAATACAAAATACAGCTAGACTTTTTACTTCGATTTTTTTATTCCTAATTTTTAAACGATTTTTTTTCATTTAAAAGTTTTCATTTCTTTTTTCAAATTATTAATTGGGTACGAAAAATCGAAATGTAAAATTGGGAATGAAAAAAACCGAAGCGAAAAAAAATGGAAATAAAGATTTGGGAAAAAAAATCAAAGCGAACAATTTTTGAATAAAAGAATCGAAGTAACAAATTGGGAATGAAAAAATTGAAATGAAAAATTGGGATTCATTTAAAAAATCGAAGTGAAAATTTGGGAATTGCTAAAATGAAAATGAAAATTGGGAAACAAAAAAACCGCAGTGAAAAATCATTGCAGATTTGATGTCACTATGACTATGGCAAAGGTTTATAGTTAAGGTTAACACAAAAAAACGTTTTCTCGTTATTTACCAAGTTTGAAAAATAAAGGTTTTGTTAATACAAAAGTTGGAAATAGAGTATTTTTGTGATGAGTTTCAGGCTGGCAAGAAGTCATTTCTCATTGGTTTTTGTTTTCCTTCACAGACTCACCAACCCAAAGGTTTTCTAAAGACATCTATTATGCTTGTCTGAGAAAAAAAAGGTTAGAGAGTTTTTTTTGCAGTCTGAATACGGTAGCGATATCGAAGCGGAGAGCCTAAATAGCACATATTAAGTGGAGACGCAGACACTTTTTCTCTGCGTCTCAACCTTTTTTCTCAGACAAGCATAATAAGCTCAGCTCACTGGGCTTACTTTCTAGAAAAAAAATAGAAAAAAAACAATAAATTGGACACTGAATTAACTTTTTTTCAATTGTTTTTATACTGCTGATTCGGATGCATTGGTCCCTAGGATTCTAGAATCCCGGGATTCCAGAAATGTTCAGTCCGGAGTCTAAATTTTATAAGGCAGAATCCGTTATCCTTACACTGTACGTCAATACTGTCACTACCTATTTACGCCATTTTCAATGAAGACAGGCATTATTACAACTCAGACAAGAATAAAAATAATATGTATTTTGCCGTTCTAGCGCACCTTTTCGACCACTCTCAATTTTCTACATTTTAAGCTATTTTAAGGCTTATTTTTAACATAAACAAGTCTTACCTCTTCAAAAATGTGTAATTTTAAACAATTTTCAAAAATGGTAAAAAGGTCGAAATGTGCAATCTTAAAAATGTGGTCGAAATCCAGTGGTCGAAATGGTCGAAATACTGCGCTAGAACGGTGAATAAAAAAATGCTAAATAAATGGCGGAGCTAGAGGCCATTGAAAAATCTGAAGCCATTGACCAACATTAATCTCGAAGAGTTTGTAAAAGTAAAGGTTCTTTCACTTAAGAGCCCAACTTAGTTATAGGTAAGCCTTGTGGTTGTATGTCTGTCTTTTTATTAATAATAAGCTTATCATAGCTCATTAATACTGAATTTATTGATGATGATGCAAGGATGTGAGATAAAATGATAAAAGCAAGATATAGAAAGAAGAATGGGGAAAAATACAAATTAATTAGGCTTGTGTAGAAACACGGAGTATTATAAAAGAATCTAGAACAAAAGAACTACTAAAGTACTGTGGTTTTTGATTACGATTATAAATACTATTCTAATCCTAGAAAAACGATGAACATGATAAACGAAACTACTGAAAAGCTAAACATATCGAGTCATAATTCAATTTGATGTCTTGAAGATAATTTTCTACGTCATTTGTAGCAGTCCCGAACTTTATTCCATCTTCCCGTAATTCGCTTTTCTCAATACCAATGATATCGCTTGTTATGCTTTTGATTCGACTCCAATGGGGCAGGGCATCCTTGACAATTTTCATCCTCTCTTCATGGCCTATTTCAGTGAGAATTTCATTGGCTTTTCCTAGTCCACCAAAGTTGCTCTTATTCTTCAAATCATCGAGCATTCTCCGTCGTAGAAAGTTGTCAGTATCCGGAACGTAAAAATCAATGATAGACAGGGCTTTCTCCTTGGTTGAACCAATGTTTCCCTCATTCAAGTCGCGTATGCCAAGGATAAGTGAGAGCAGGTAAGCCTGAAATGGATTTTATTTAAATAAGTATTTAAAGTATTTTTAATTAAAAATTATTTAAAATGTATCACCTCAACAATTACTTTATTTTGCAGAACAACATCCTAAGTTTGTCCAGCTCTTTGAATTCTTTGACTTCCTTAGTTGCAATGTAGTGAGTGTATGTCGATGCATCATAGAATGGGAAGAATACAACAGGTCCAACTCCAATATGTTCGAGAAGTCGATATGCGAACATTTCGCGAAGATCCGGCAGGTGTCGCTTTGATGCATTTTGCAGGGAAATTGAAGAACCGGCGTGATGATAAGTTCATATAGTAAAGTGTCTCTTCTCCATTGCAAGTGACAGTCACCACAATCCCTGCTCGACTACCGCCTTGCTTAGGCTTAAAGCTTATTGTTGAATTGGGAAACATCTTGGTGAAGAATTTTGTAGCGCTTTGTTCAAAAGCGTTTCGCGTTCGGTCGACAAACCTGAAATGCGAATATCATTATTTTGTCAATATTTTTAAAAGGAATTGAACAAATTAGCAAACCTCATCATTTGACCGATAGTGTCGGTCCAAACTGTCACAAAGTTGACGTAGGCTTCGAAAAATCCGGAATCCTCGAGTTTTTGTGAATTGGCTATAGCTCTTTGCGCACATTTTGTTCGTTCAGGTTTTCCTTTTTTGATATCCTTGGCGCTGTCACAAAGCAACAAATACGCACGCCAGGATTCTAGAAGATAATGTTTCTGAAATACATTTTTAAAAATTTACTGATAGGTGATAGGGGTGATAGGTGACCTTAAATTCCAAAAATTATACATCCTAACAATAAATAGTAAATTCTTAAATGTAAAAATTCAACTTACGACAACAATTTCTTCGCCAAACTTGATGTCCTGAATGGGACGCTCAACAACGGGAAGATCTTCACCACGTAATTGGAGTTGTTGAAACTTGGGTGGAATATGTGTCACAGATTGAATTTCCTTCTTTAGGTCAACATAAGGAATCTGAAAATATACAAATAAAATATGTTAATAGGAATAAATTATCGAAGTAAAACCTTATTATCCACTTTGATACCCTTGAACAAACGATCGTCGTTTTCTCCAACCAATCGAATTGTGATCGCAGTCATGTCTGAAATCAAAGAATAATGGAAAAAGTAACGTCATGTAAAATCACGAAGTCAATGCAAACTACGGAAGAAAAGCAAGTCTCTTTTCTATTCACAAAGGTTTATGGAAGAATGCGATGCTGGCTGTCTCTCGCTTTCCTCTGCGTCTCTGCCTTCCACTCTAGCCCAACGCGTTTGCGTTGTACTCGATCACAGTGAGGAAGAGAAAAGAAGGACACACAAAGAGAAAGGGAACATTGCTGACCTTTATACGTCACACCAAAGGAAAGAACAGAAGGAGAAAGAGAGAACTCGACGAATTTGGTCACACCCTAACCTTCTCGAAGGTACTGGCAAAACAAGTATGAAAGAATGAGGTGTATCATTTGAGAAAGATTTACGTCGCAGAATTTCTTCAGTTTTTGTGTTGTTATTTCATTTTCAAGATGATTTTCAAGCAAAGTTCAATATTTTCTTCTAAGATGGGAATGCTTTTCGTGTCAAGAAATCTCTACTTCTCCATAGAAAGTGTAAAAGTGAACAGAAAGAACTGGTAAGTCTTTTTTTGTATGATATACTAGATTATTAATTATTTGCAGGTTTTACTACAAAATCAATTTAACGAAATTTGTCGAGACGGCATTTGGGTAGTGAACCCCTGTCCGTCTCGGAAACCAGAAAGACAGTTAAACAAAGAAAGAATGAGACATTCAACACTCAAACTTTATTAAAACGAACTTTTGGAGGAACACAATTTGGTGGCTTCTTCATCAACTGGATCCTTCGACATCTTAGATCCTTGGGATAGACGAGATGGCGACTTTCTTGCAGTACTCAGAGAACTAAATCTTATTCCTTCACATAAACTTCACATCGACCGTTCCACGTAGCAAATACGATTTGTTATAAGATTTAGGTAACATAAGGAGACGGTCACGTAACTTGGAAATCCATACGAACTGATTCCTTCAGATAGCTCGTAGAACAAAGCAAGAGATGTTGAATATTATTTAGATATCCTCAGATAGGCTAGAGAGTTTCCACAGTTTGGAATTATTCTTACAACTTAAGATGGGCTTACAATTAAAGAATACAATAATGCCAATAGCATAAAGTTGTGGAAGTAATGTACGATACATTACTTCCGCAACACTGGGGGGGACGAAGAAAGAACTTCATTAGAAGTTCTTTGGTTTAGACGACCTTTAGCTTTTCGTGGCAAAAACGGACGAGTCCGTTGAACAGCCGGTTGCTGCGACTTAATTCCTTTTTCTACAGTTCTTTCGATAGTAGGGACGCGAGCAGTAGTGTCTTCAACAACCTCAGTCTCCACTTGTTCTTCTGATAAACCATCGTCTGATATTTCCAGTGGAATGATTTGATTAACTGCTTTTTCAAGGACGTGTTTTCCTACCTTCACTTTTACAGAACGCACTATCTTATCCGACGAGTAGCACAATTCTGTGATTAGCCCTATTGGCCATTTTTGTCTCTGAACGAGCTGTGTCTTGATGAGTACAACTTGACCAGGTGTCGGCGAATGTTTGGAGTGAGATGTGTCCTTCATATAATACTTGCGCAGCATCGTGAAATATTCTTCTGCAAAACATCTCCACAAGTGATCTTTCATAGCTGACATAGATTGCAAAAGAGCCCGAGTGGCTTGTTCGGTTTTTCCATTGGTCACCAAGTCCATAACAGTTTTGTTATTCTCCGGAAGAAAAACTCGTCCATTTGGAATCAAAAAATCGACAGGTCTAATGGCAAGAGAATCCGATACATGTCCTTGGTTTGATGAAATTGGCCTGGAGTTTAGAATACCTTCAGCTTCAATAAGCAGCGATTCTAACTCTAACAGCGATACTGTCTGTGGTCCAATGACCTTGTAAATCATGTTCTTTACTAGAGCCACAAGTCTCTCATAAACCCCCCTTGCCATGGAGCAAAGGGAGTGATAGTTTTTATCTCAATCTCGTTATCTGCTAAAAACGAAGTAAGTGTTCTACTCTGGTGCACAAGAGTTCGAAGATCCGAATTGATAATTTTGAAACCTAACTTAAAAGATGGGGCGTTATCCGATATTATAGTTTTTGGTGTTCCTCTACGTCCGATAAAGCGTTTTAAACTAGTCAAAAAACCGAATGTTGTGTTGTCTGGAACGATTTCCAGGTGGATGGCTCGCGTCACGAGACAAGTAACTAATAATACCCAGACTTTGCCTCGTCCTTCCTTTGACTTATATAGAAGTGGTCCGAAATAATCCAAGCCAGCAATCGAAAATGAAGTAACCATCTGGAAACGAACATCTGGTAATTCCTTCGAATAAGGATACTTATATGGATGAGCGTGTCTTTTCCTGCACGTAATGCAGTTACTACGAATCAAGCTTTAGATCTTGGAATGAAATTGAAAAAAATTAAGAGAATTCTTAAATTTGATGAATCTAATTGGCTTGCGAGCTATATTGATTTGAATACTAACCTTAGAAAAAAAGCTAAAAATGATTTTGAAAAAGACTTCTTTAAGTTGATGAATAATAGTGTTTTTGGGAAAACTATGGAGAATGTTCGTAATAGAGTAGATGTAAAGTTGGTGTATTCTGGTGAGTATGAATGTATGGAAAATGGTGAAATGCATTACATTTCAAAGAAAGATAGAATAACTAAGTTAGCTAAGAAACCTAACTTTAATAGGAATATAATAATAAACAAAGAATTGAGTTTTGTTGAAATGGCTCAAACTAAAATAGTTCTAGATAAGCCTATTTATGTTGGCTTTGCTATCCTGGAGTTGAGTAAGTGGCTGATGTACGATTTTCATTACAATGTTATGAAGAAAAAATATGGAGATAACATTAAATTATGCTATCAGGATACTGATTCCCTTATTTATGAAATTTTTACATCTGACTTTTATGAAGACCTATTAGAAGATTCTTCATTAAAAAAATATTTCGATTTCAGTGAATATCCTAAAGTTCATCCATTGTATAATGAAGAAATAAAAAAGTTGTTGGCAAATTCAAAGATGAATTAAATGGATTAATAATGCAAGAACTTTTAGCCTTGAAACCCAAACAATATGCATATAAAATTGCTGAGGAAAGACGTCAAGAGTTTGTAGATTATTACAATAAAAGAATTCAAGATGAAATAGAGAATCCTAAACTTCCAAAAGTTCCAAAACCTGGAGATGAGGTTAAAAAGAGTAAAGGAATAAAGAAAAATGTTGTCAAGAAGTTAAGAGTTGAAGATTTCCGAGAAAGTCTTTTCAATAAGAGTATTGTTAGAAAGAAACAATGCTGTATTCGAAGTATCAAACAGCAATTATACACCCAAGAACAGGAAAAAGTAGTATTTGATAATGAAATGACTCAAGCGAAAATGCTGCATTTCAAAAGAGTTATTATTCCAGATTCTTTTGAGACTCTGGCATATGGTTATAAAAATTGAGATAAAACACTACTTTGAAAATCATATTTTTCTAATAATTTTAAAAGTAATAAACAATAATAACCACAATGATGTGTTCCAAAATCTTGAACTTTGAATGTTGAAAGCTCTATCTTATCTTTTTTATTTCTACTCTTGAGATATTCTTGAAGTTGTAAAGGAGGATCAAGTCCGAAGGAATCAAAGTAATAAATCTTCTTATTATTCTTGGAGTAACATACCCAATGAGTACCTTTACCACTAGAAGAATCCAGATTGACAATGCCTACTTCTTTTTCTTTAATCTTAGAAGGTAAAGTATCTCTCATAAAGATTCCTCTGAAGTTTCTTATCTTTAATAATTTTACAAGTTCTAAGAGATCTAGATTTGTTAGTGGTTTCAAATTTTTTGAAAATTTCATTTATTTAGCATTTTTTTATTCACCGTTCTAGCGCAGTATTTCGACCATTTCGACCACATTTTTAAGATAGCACATTTCGACCTTTTTACCATTTTTGAAAATTGTTTAAAATTACACATTTTTGAAGAGGTAAGACTTGTTTATGTTAAAAATAAGCCTTAAAATAGCTTAAAATGTAGAAAATTGAGAGTGGTCGAAAAGGTGCGCTAGAACGGCAAAATACATATTATTAATAAAGTTCCCGCCGGGGGGTTAAGGGAAGTTCCTGCCGCAGGGCAGCGGCAGGGACTTTTTTTTAGCTTGCCGGCATGGACTTTCACGCCGGCAGGTAAATGCTTTCTGTTCTTTCTCCCTTCCTCTTCCAGGGCCTTTTTCATGAAAATCAAATGAGAATATTAACAAAATATAAGTTTTTATTATCAAAAGAAATTATTTCAAGAATATTCGTGGAGATAGCTGGCATCTTGACAATTTTCACTGGCGGCTTCTCTTGATATTTTTTCAGCAAATCCTGCAAAAGTTTAATCTTATATCAAAACTGGTATCCCATTTAAATGTTACCTTAACCTCAATGCAGTACATGGTTTCTTCAGGAGTATAGTCGAATACTCTCGGAACGTGAACCACATCGTGCACTGAGTTTGAAATCTTCCTTAGAAAACTCTGTTTCTGGCCAGATATCCCTTTGTTTTGACTCTTGAGCAAGAAGTCTGCCAGTAGCGTAGATATCGAGTTTGTCAAAGTATACCAAACTCATAAGCCGATCTGGAATAGATAATTTAAAATCCTGAATTCTCTATATTGTTTTTTTCACCGGTGAGGGTAGTTGTGAGGATATTTCCAGATTTGTTGAGTGTAGTTACCGATTTGTCGTTTTTCGAATGAGATCCTGTAACGTTTTTTTTTTAAACTGATAAATTATGATATAAATACCTGTTGGAGGAAAAAACGTAGACACAGATCCATTGTTGCAGAAACGACCGCGAGGTGTTTGAGGAGTCATTTTGGGATTTTCTGAAAATATAAGGAAATTTGCAATGTCGGAGCAATACTTTTTCTTTTCAGAATGTACACAGTGTCGGAACAAATAATTTTATATACCTCGTAAAAGAAATTCAGTAAAATAATAGACATAATCAATTTTAGCTTTAAAACAAAATAATAAAATATGCAAATTAAAATCCCGGCGAGCGGAGTGTCGTTTAGCCCGCCGGCAGGTACTTTCTCCTGCCACCACTTCAATAGCCTGCCGGCATCCTTTTTAACCCCCCGGCAGGAACTTTGTTCTTGTCTGAGAATGTAAGACATGGGACATTCTGGATCTGATTGAGTTTATGAATAGATGGAAACCCGGAGAACGATCTCAAATGCTGGAATACTTGAATATAGGAAAGATATCTAATGATATCCATTGAAACGAATTTCTAAATACATTAAAGAACGAAGCAAAGGTAGATAGAGGTTTAGGTGATTTAAAACAATTTGATGAAAGCGATGTGAAAAAAAGTTTACATGACGATGTTATCTTGACTAATATCTTAAAGGTGGGGGAAATGAAAAAAATAATGTTCTCGAAATTCCGTTCAAATATGCCCCTCGAGGAGTTGAACTTGTGGGGGCGAGGATTGAGGGTGCGGCGCCGCTACCGACTGAGCCACGCGGGCAAAGCGGCAGCCGGCGCCCGGTTGCATACATAAAGGCGAGGACGACCGCTGTACGCAGAGTAACATTAAGCGTTGTACACCGTCACGGTAGAATGCATACCCTAACTCCAAAAAACCTCCGAAAAATCTCCTGTCCCCCCACCTTTAAGATAATTATATGCCTTGTATGGATCCAATAGTTTTTTAAGAATATTTTGAAGAGCAGAGGAATCTTGAACTACGTCACCAATCTCAGAAACTCTTCTTCCGTCTCATTCCATACTCCAAAATAGAACCTATCTCTATTTATTGCAACAGATGCCACACGATTATCTGTTTTTCGAACGACATATGCATGACTGATGATCGGAGCCGTATTTGGAAAGTCCCCGTATTTATACCTATAAAACGATTGATTATTCCACAGTTATCATAAAAGAAAATAATATTTCAAAATTACTGAAAAATAACTCACACTACGGGTAATGTGTGAGTGGGTGGTGTTCTTGATTCATCAATATATTTTACTCCATTTGCATTCAGAATTTGGTTTTGAACGCCGCGATTTCGCATTAATTTAATTTTCAAGTATTCCAACTTCCCACATTCTTGTCCGGATTTCCATCTATTCATAAACCCTATAAAACTTGAAACGTCATATTCATCGCATCTCAAAAATGCCTGTCTTCCTTGAAAATGACGTAAAAAATCATGAGCGGTTCTGGTGTATAGTGTGAGGGAGATGGATTCTGCCTGATAGAATTTGGACTCCGGACGGAACAGTTGTTGTGATTGCAAACTCATACATATCTGTTTCAAAGCAGGAGACGAGGCGAGATATTCTTCAATAGGTTGAATGTTTATAATTCTTCCCAAGTTACCAGGCCAAAAGGAAAGACACAATGATAATTTCGGAAGATGTGGAATGAATTCCTTGTAATGTTCCACATACTGATATTCTACAGTCTCACCGAAGAAATCGAGAAAGTAGTTATGAATAGATTCGATAGCAGATTCTTTTTCACTCGGGTGGAAATATGCTTCAGGATATTGGTATTGGTTTGACAACCTAAATTAATGATATGTTTCCAATTGGTTACTGATTCTAACTTACCGAAAATCCATTATTTTTCCAGCTACGTTCAATTGAAAATAATCATCCTCTGTCTCCTCGCGGCGCTCAGTAAATTCCATGATATTGTCCGACTTGGGCATGAAGGGAATATAAACCGACCAGCTATCGGTCACAGGACGCTCAGGAGCGTCATACACAATATGACTGATGCTGTTGAATCTTGTAATTTGAGACGATTTGATCAACTTCTTAATATTTTTGGAGACAAACACAACAAAAATAGATTCGAAATTTTCATGTTTTCCAGAATCTCCTTTTGGACCAAATACGGAAAAATCGATAGTTTCATTGTTGGTTGTTCTGAAAATTTTCAACATATTGTCGAAGAACATAAAGAAATATGAGGGAAATGATAAACGGTCGATATAAAAGAAACGAAGGAGCATCTTATGAGGTGGCAGATGACCTAAAAGACGCAGACGATGTAGACAGTCCGATGATGAGTGTATGCTATGACTGTGACTGGTTCTCGCACTCCCTCGTCTGTCTCAATGGGACCACTCTCGATTAGAGGTAGATTAGCTGGTTGGAGGTGTCTTCCTAGCACCTACATTAGCTTTGTGAACTGCACGACCGGTATAAGAGTGTTCAAACTCTAAAGGAGGACTCCGACCAAAAATTTTTATTGTATGAAAATGTGTTAAAAGTTATCTATTTTCCTAATATTATTGCGAAAAAATTCAAAAGAAATCCGAAACCCCCGAAAAACGCTGTTGAAAACGAAAAAAATTCAAAAAAAGGTGCCGCCGCGGGACGAGGATTTGAATTCCCGCGCAGTGAGAAGCCTAGGCCACGGCGCCTGAGAGCATTATTTTCAAGTGGCCGACAGTGTTTTTTAACGTTTTTTACCTGTCGGAGATAAAAGCGAAACAAATCCGGAAAAAATGTCCGGTAAGAAAGTCGCGCCGCTCGCGTGGCCTAGGTTTCTCACTGAAAATCCTCGTCCCTCGGCGGCATCTTTTTTTGAATCTTTTTCCTTTTCAACGGCGTTTTTGGGGATTTCGGATTTTTTTCGAATTTTTTCGCAAAAATATCCTGAAAATAGATACATTTTAACACATTTTGATGCAATAAAAAAATTGACCGGAGTCCCCCTTAAAGCAATAAAAACTTCGAATATACATCGTTGCTGGAACGGTTCCCAGCATCTTAACATCTCAGAATCCCAGAAATTTCGAATTTCAAACCTTGAGATACGCAGAATCCCAGAATCTCACAACCTGAATCCCAAAATTCCAGAAATATGAATAAAATAGTCTAAATCTGAAAATGTTTGCATAATTACAGCAGGCAAAAGAGATGGTAAATGAAACAAAAGATGGAATGAAAGATGACAACAAATGGCCGATATTGGAGACGTCTGTTGGTTAGGAAGACGGTGCAATATACTTGCCAAGATACCTTCTCCTGTCTGTAGTGACCCTAGTCTGATGACTTGGCTGGACAATTACTGTATGTTATTGTGTTATGAGACCCTCGGGCAACAATCATTCACTGTCATTCTTGTGCAATAGGTAGAGTATTGGGTTAAACACAAACCTATTTTATCAACTAGATGGTTATTGCTCCATGGGCGATTTCGTGTAGCAGAATACATGAAAAAGGGTCTCTGTGAAAACATCTTACAAATCATGTTACGAGTTAATAATACAAAGAATAATGCATTCGAATTTATTGACAACAACCAAAAAAGATTAGATTGAAAAATGAAGCACTGAATGTAACGAAGACAAATGGAAACAATTATTACCGAAAAAAAGGTAAATGGATATTACAGTACATTAGTATACGTTGTATAGGGGTGAAGGGATTTGAAATAAATTGATGAAAACAACAATTTATTTTAAAAAAACAATTTACAGTTTTCACAACAATATAATAAAAGCAAAAGTGAGCAAATAAAGTATTGTCAAGAAAATATCTAAATGAATAATGATGTTTAATATCTGAAAAGCTTTGAATGGATGTAATAGTTTTCAAGAATATTTGAGAAGTGGAGAAATCTGGAACTACGTCACCATTCTCAGAAACTCTTCCTCCGTCTCTTTCCATACACCAAAACAGAACGATTCGTCCTGAATTGAAACAGATGGCACATGATTATCTGTTTCTCTAACGACATATGAGTGACTGATGATTGGATCCGTGTTTGGACCATACGGTCTCAAAATACTTCTCAAATATTCTTGAAAACTATTACATCCATTCAAAGCTTTTCAGATATTAAACATCATTATTCATTTAGATATTTTCTTGACAATACTTTATTTGCTCACTTTTGCTTTTATTATATTGTTGTGAAAACTGTAAATTGTTTTTTTTTAAATAAATTGTTGTTTCCATCAATTTATTTCAAATCCCTTCACCCCTATACAACGTATACTAATGTACTATAATATCCATTTACCTTTTTTTCGGTAATAATTGTTTCATTTGTCTTCGTTACATTCAGTGCTTCATTTTTCAATCTAATCTTTTTTGGTTGTTGTCAATAAATTCGAATGCATTATTCTTTGTATTATTAACTCGTAACATGATTTGTAAGATGTTTTCACAGAGACCCTTTTTCATGTATTCTGCTACACGAAATCGCCCATGGAGCAATAACCATCTAGTTGATAAAATAGGTTTGTGTTTAACCCAATACTCTACCTATTGCACAAGAATGACAGTGAATGATTGTTGCCCGAGGGTCTCATAACACAATAACATACAGTAATTGTCCAGCCAAGTCATCAGACTAGGGTCACTACAGACAGGAGAAGGTATCTTGGCAAGTATATTGCACCGTCTTCCTAACCAACAGACGTCTCCAATATCGGCCATTTGTTGTCATCTTTCATTCCATATTTTGTTTCATTTACCATCTCTTTTGCCTGCTGTAATTATGCAAACATTTTAAGATTTAGACTATTTTATTCATATTTCTGGAATTTTGGGATTCAGGTTGTGAGATTCTGGGATTCTGCGTATCTCAAGGTAAATTGTAACTACCGTAACCTAAAACGAAAACTACCGTAACCTAAAATATTTTTGTCTTTCAGGATTTTTTCCTGGCTTTTTCACACAGCTTTTCGTATTTGTCTAGTTATTTCTCTTCCACAGTTCCTATTGTTCTTTGTACCAGAATAATAATTTCGATAGATTAAAAAAAAAACATAAAAATTAAAAAAACCTATTCTTGTAACTATCTGCGAAGACTTTGTAGTGAAAAGCTTTATCAAATTTTTCAATTTCTCTTCTTCTTTTTTTCAATTTCTCTTTCTTTTATAATTAATAGAATTGAAATTCGAAATTTCTGGGATTCTGAGATGTTAAGATGCTGGGAACCGTTCCAGCAACGATGTATATTCGAAGTTTTTATTGCTTTAAGGGGGACTCCGGTCAATTTTTTTATTGCATCAAAATGTGTTAAAATGTATCTATTTTCAGGATATTTTTGCGAAAAAATTCGAAAAAAATCCGAAATCCCCAAAAACGCCGTTGAAAAGGAAAAAAATTCAAAAAAGAAAAGCCTTGCAGTTCCTATTGGGAGCTGGGGGGAGCGTGTTTTGTGCATTTTCGAGAGAATGAGGGACCTCTGTTTCCATGGTCGTGCCGCACCAACCATCTTTTGCACTCTTTAAATAATTCTACACTTGTTTGTATCTCCTAGCAACACTCCTACCTTCATTTTCTTTTTTCCTTTTTTGTGCACTGAGCCAGATAGAATACCGTAAACACTCGAATAGAACGTCACACCTAACTTTCAACTTTAAGCCAATTTATCTCTGTTCCTGTGAAAAAACGTTCTATTAGAGTAATTACGGTATACATTTTTAAAAACTTATCAATATTCCAACTGGGTTATCACTCTTGTATTTTGGTATATGGAATATTCTGATTTTTTCGGAGTTCAACCTTTATGGAGGTTACTGTAATTTGTGGTCAGCTTCGAGCTCTTTTCATTGGTAATACAAGTTTTTATAAATTTGATAGTTTGTTAAACAAACTTTGTTTAGAACAGAAATACTAATCTAGTGAAAAAGATTGTAGCTGTGGAAGAGAAACGCCGGTGGTCTTTGCCGAAGGACTAACGTAACTACCGTAACCTAAAACGAAAACTACCGTAACCTAAAATATTTTTGTCTTTCAGGATTTTTTCCTGGCTTTTTCACACAGCTTTTCGTATTTGTCTAGTTATTTCTCTTCCACAGTTCCTATTGTTCTTTGTACCAGAATAATAATTTCGATAGATTAAAAAAAAAACATAAAAATTAAAAAAACCTATTCTTGTAACTATCTGCGAAGACTTTGTAGTGAAAAGCTTTATCAAATTTTTCAATTTCTCTTCTTCTTTTTTTCAATTTCTCTTTCTTTTATAATTAATAGAATTACGAACACTTTCTCACAACACTAAAAAAGTGAGAAAGATTCCCAAAGAAAGGATGTGTTTTAATAAGATTGTTGACCCAGATTAGCTATTTCCCTCCGAAATGACATCTCGTGTTCCTTGTTCCATCCAGAATCCGAATCTCTGTTTTTTTTCCTCCTTTTTCCTTTCACCTCATATTTCGTTTCTGCCGTAAGTTGATCTCTGATCGACTGGTGAGTTTCTGCCACGTTCTCTTGCTTTACAATCATAGTTTGTCTCTCGATGTCTGCGTCTTTCTCTCCCGCCCACTCTCTCGCTGCTCTCTTCTTCTTTTTTCTTGTTTTTTTTTCTCTCTATTTCTGGGGTTTCCCCTTTATTTTTGCAGTTTCCAAAATAACTCCCATATAATGATGACGTTCGGGAAAACTATTCTACCGTATCTCTCCTTCACTGCGCTTTCTTCTACTGTTGGTTAGTTTTAAAACTATAGTTTTTCATTTTTCAACGAACCCTCATCTATTTCTGAAACCTTGCAGCCTTCTTCCTATGTGGCCTACAAATTTGTCACCGCATCAAAACACGTGGATCTTCTGAAGGCACAAGTCCCGCACCGTTTCTTCTTTGTTCGTTGTCTCCGTCTCCATCTTATCACCTCTCAAACCTATATTCCAGCATTTTTATCGTGCGGTTTATTCATTCAATACGGACTACTCAAAGACGATGACATTATTACATACACAAACGGAATCGGCTGTTTTTTGCAAGGCTGCTATTTGTTGTACTTCTACTTTATGACTAGGAACAAGGTAATATTTAGATACGAGAAATCGGAATTGTAGAATAGAAACGACGGAGCGCCAAAAGGTCCCACAACGAAAACTACAGTAACCTGAAAATATTTTTATTTATTGTCTATTCAAAATAATCGCGCGTGAACGAGTAAAAATGTCTGTGTCTCTACAGCGCCTCTACAGGTTTGAGGGCTCTCTACACGTTTTTTTACTCGTTCACTCGTGCGATTGATTTGAAGACAATATCAAAGTTTATTTTTTCGTTTTTTCGAATTTCCGTCGATTATTTCAGTATAAAAACTTGATTTTCCTACTTTTTCGAGAAAAAAACAGAAAAATCGATGAAAATCTGAAAGTTAAAAACGAGAAAACAAATCCTGGAAAAAATTTTTTAAAGGTTACTGTAGTTGTCGTTCTGGGACATTCAATCACGGCCACCGGCGTTTCTATTCCACTGTTCCGATTATTGACGCTTTTGTCTAAGCCTAAAATTTTAAACAGAAAAGGCAACATTTTGAAAAAATTCAGTTAAAAAGGTACTGAAATTCGCGAGAATCAACGAAGTTTGCAAATTTTTCGCAGAAATTTTTTTATATTTATAGGTTTAGGCACCCGCATTTTGGCCCCATTATCAATCATTTGGGTTTTTTCGAAAAACTAAATTTCCTAATATTCAGAGATTCCTAAACAAGGTTATCGCTATCGAATTGTGCATCATTGGAATCGTCGTGTATTGGGTTCAACACTCGGCGAACAGTCATGTGACAAAACAAACTTATGTGGGAAACTATTGCATTTTTCTGAATATCTGCAGTGTGGCCGCTCCGTTATTCGATATTGGAAAGGTATTAGTACACTTCTAGATCCATTTCAGCGTCTTAAAATTCTCGTTTTCAGGTTGTTCGGAATAAATCAAGTGAATCTTTGCCTCTACCACTCTGCATTGCATGCTTCGTAGTCTGTTTCCAATGGATGTTCTACGGATACATTGTGGATGACATTGTAATACTGGTAAGCGAATTTCAATATTAAAAATTTTAAAAACATTCATTACACAGGATTAAAAAAGTTTTCGATATTATGAGCTATTTTTTGATGATCCCGTTGTTGTTTCAGGTTCCAAACGTGATTGCAACTGTGATTTCGATTCTGCAACTTTCACTTTTTGTGATCTATCCGGGTGCTCCGCCAGGAGTGTTCCCAGAGAAATACGAGCACATTTAAACATCACTCACCACTTCATATCTGCGAATCCTGCATCAATGGCGTTCCATTGAACTGTTGGCTCATTCGCATCAGCTGTTTCTTTTCGGTGCCCATTAGAATGCGTCGAATCTGAAAAAGATCTCTTTTGATTGGGGTTTTTGTGCCTTCCTTTCGCCAATAAATTATTTATTTAAAATCACTTACCGATACACTTCTACCATCATCCACTCTCATTCGCTTCACTTCAGGAACTTTGAATATTCGGTTTTGATCCTCTTCCGGGATATCAGCAACTATAGGTTCTCGCTCATTTTCTTCTTGAGGAATCGGGTTCGGGAACTCTTCCGGTTCGAGATATTGTGGAGAGTTGATTCGTGCACTTATATTAATATCTTGAATAGCTTGATGCATTGAAAACTCCTTCTCTGCTGGTGTTCTTCTGCTAAATTAGTATTTTCTAGTTAAATAATCAATAAAAATCGCTTCTTACTGAATTGGTTCATCAACTTCCATGATATCTGGATCAGTCTCCATCGGAACAATCATCTCCACCTCCGGCTGAGTCTCTGGGGTCGCTACTCTCTGGTGTTCACCGCTGCAACACGCAACATTTATTGACACTTCGTTGGAATGCACCACAGCGCCTCATTGGCTCAGTGGCAGAGCGTCTGTCTAGTAAACAGAAGGTCGCTGGTTCGATTCCAGCATGAGGCACCGAACTTTTTTTTCGTTTTTTTTTTAAGTCTTACTCTATAATTTCATGATCTCTCCACGAATGATCGGTAACTGGTTGAGTGGTCTTCTCGTGAACTGTTGCAGCAATAAATTTGTTTTTGCTTGGTTGCGAGTGTGACTGGGATTGGGATTGGTGTACTTCGGAATTCGGAACAGGTCCTCTTTTTGAGCTAGAGCTGGTGATGTTGAAATCATCCAAGTTTGATGCTTTTTTCGATTTCTTGGCCGAGATTCTGAAAGGAAGGGGATTTCGTAAACTCAGAGTCTGACTTTGGATCGTTACGTTTCAGAAGACTGTCCGTTGATTGTCGTCTCGTGGTGAATCATCGTTTCTTTCTGAAATCGACAGTATTACTTTTAATCTTGGGACTAATATAAAACTCACAACAATCCCTCCATCTAAATCAATTTCATCATCATTACCCATAGTGGCTAATGCCAGCTCGATGTCAAAGTTAGGATGTGCTTCCATCGATAAGATCAATGGTCTACCCGGAAGATCATAGTAGAGACAAACTTCCGAGCCCAGCTGATCAGCGAATGTCACAATTGACTGAAAATGATGGATTTGGCTGAATTGTTGATTTTATAAAGTATTTAAAATACCATAAATTCTCTCAAAGAGAACGAAAACTCCGCCGGAATTCTAACTTTATGGCGGGTCAGCTTATCGATTGTGATTGTTGTCTCTGTCTTGACCTTCTTTCCACCTCCCCGCTGATCGGCCATATTGAACATGGAAACTCCGTCCATTGAGTGATAGTTTCGAATTGTGAGTCCCTCTTCGTTTACCTTCATTGTGACTTCGAGATCTGTTTTCATTTGGGCAAGGATAGGAAGAAGAGTTCTGAAATTAAAGGATAGCCCTAAATCAGATTTATAAGACTGAGGTACTTACGAGGCAAAAACAACGGTGGTATTTCTGCAGATTGCTCGGTCGTAGGTTGGCTTATGCAGGATAGATCCCATTTCGCGAAGTTTGGCATGGATGGTACGATCGATATCATAATTCATTTGAAGCTTGACCATCATCTTTTCGCCTCTCGGATCGATTCGAAACTCACAACCAACGAATGTCTTTTCACCCACAGCCACACCTTTGAAAATTCGCTGAGCCGACTGAAAATGTTTTTGTCATACATACTCATATTCCGATGTAATTCCCAAGACCCACTTTCATTGATAGTCTACAAATATTTATTTTCTTATTGTTGATCATTGACACGTCGCAAGAATTGAAGAACTCGGGAGCAAAACGGAAAACGCAGAATTTAGACCGGTTGACAATTTTGAAGTATAACCCAGTATCGGAAACTTCGATTAAAACGTCTTCGGAAATTTTGCTTAGAGCAGAGATACATCTTGACATGACTGAAAATACATAAAATTGCGCAGAAACTGCTTATATTTATTCGCTCACTTTTCAAATTAGATTGGACCACAAATTGAGCGCCTTTCATGTCTTCATGCTGGACCCCCTTCTTCAGGGTCGACGTCGACGATGACGGATCTGCATAAGTATCATGAGTGGCTTGCATTTGAGATATCTGAAAACTACCGATTAAATATTTACCTATTTTAAAAGTTGCAGAAAATAATGAGAAAAAAACAAGTTTCGCGCTCGGACTACACCATCCATGGCCGAAGATTACAAGTATCGTGTAGTCCTCTCGGATTATTTTCTTGGAACTTTTTTTGTTTTGTTTCTGCCTGTTTTCTATGTATTATTACGCTACGTCGCTAGATCCGTGCATGATTCTCGTGTTTCCCGCAAGAGAACCGGTCTCGTGAACGGGCGAATGACATGCGAACCAGCGATGCGTCATATATCGTTCTCTATACATTTTTAACCCCTCAGGTATAATACGCCTCCCTTTGTCTGCTCTCTTAAAATCCCATGTCGTCGTCGTTGTGTTGAGGTTTTCGATGTCTCACGCTTTAGAGAATATATATGTCATGTGCTCTATTTTTTCCTCTCCAGTGCCCCGGATCTCTCCGTCCTTTCTTCGCACAAAACGCAATAAATAATATTTCTCACTCCTAAAGATCTTTTTCTTTTTATTCTTCTTCCCAGAATTTAGTTCTCGGACCACAAATCAATACGCTTGTCTCTGCGCCTCCTCTGATATTAGTCCCTCCATCAGTGTTCAACACTCTGTTGCCATTTGACCCTTCAAAACTCTTTGTTTGTCCCCTTCTGCCATGTCCACTATTTCCCGCTGTTTGCTTTTCCAATTCAACACTTCCAATAGGGATAATTTCATTTCGCCGACTTTCAGGCATGTCCTCGACACCTCGTGCTCCTCTCATCTTCGTGCTTTTCTCGTTGATTGTATCAGGTAAAATCCTTGTGATCTTGATTTTTTTCGCGATTTTTATAATCAATTGTTATTAACTCCCAAATTATAAGCCGTATTTCTTTAGATAAAAATTTTTCTCTGATTCAGAATATGCCGAATTAATATGGAAAAAAAGTTTAGACAGTTTTTGAAGTTACACTAATAGAGAACATAAAATGCAACACACTTTTTCGGGAGGCAAAGAGTATCTCATGAATAAGCTAGAATCTTGTTTAAACAAGCCGAATCGGATCGGGTGACGTTATGTAATTGAAAATCGTATAGGTGGCGATATTAACAGCATTTTTCATCAAGCGACTGGATTGAATAGATACAGTACCGGTCAATAAAATATACAAAAACGAGTTTTTCAGTTGATTTTGGTCATTTTCAGGCGCCTAGAGCTCGGCTGTCAAGTGTCACTTTGAAAATGTTTGAGGGTGTAAAACAGACCTAGACTGAAAACTTTCCATTTACAGAATTAATTCCGTGAATGCAAGGTTTTCAATCTAGGCCTGTTTTATAATCTTCAAAAATATCAGAGCTCAAGACTTCTGAAAATGGTCAAAATCATCTGAAAAACTTGTTTTTTCATATATTTATGGTCAGCACCGTATATGAAACTATAATTTTTACAGGATCCTCCCGAACGATTCCCTGTCTGGATGGGTGCAAATGCGATCTCTCTGAACATGACCCAGTAATCAGCTGCGATGGATTAGGTCTCGAACGATTCCCACTTCCACACTCCTCACCACTCCGCGGATTCCATTACCTTGCACTCACTTGCAACGATCTTGAGACGATTCCAGCTATTAGCATGATCAAGGCCTCTTTCCCAGATCTTCAAGGAATCGATGTACAAGGAAATCCTCGATTGAATTGCACAACCCTTGCCCATTTGCATACCGAGATTCCAGTTCTTTCGGATTGCGAAGAAGATAAGCCTAAACTGCAATGTGATAACCTGGATAAGGTGCGCGCCGCCCTGATTAAATGCTGAGCCGTAATTTTATCTTTTAGAACTGTGACTGGAAATGCCGTGCGCTTACGAAACTGAAAGAGATGTGGGCTCAATTCAAGGACCTTGTCAACAGAAAAGCCAAGGAATGGCAAGCAGAAGAAACGATTGAGGCTGCGAAGAACTGGTTTAGTGCTCAGTTCAAGAAGTTCAAGGTGGCTATCGGAGAGCTTTCCGATTAATTTTCATGTATATTTTTTTTTGCATTTTCTGCATCTGGCCAAATGTTTTATACGATTCGCATAATTTCTACTCTTGTATCTCACAAACAATTATAGATTACGGTCCCAAGAACTTCTATAAATATATTTACCATTAAAAAATGCAAAAACAAACGAAATTCATCAACAAAAACAAAAAATTAAGAAGAACCTAAAAAAGCCTAGATGCTATATTTGACGGATCGTGAGCGGAGGTAGTTGTAGTACTCATCCATGTGATCCCACCCGCTTTTTGGTGCGTGTCGTTGTTTGTGAGCTGGCGCGGGTCCCTCTTCAAGTCGGACAAAAATGTGAATGTAGCGATATCTGATAGTATTCCAGTTCTCGTGAGCATGACGACGAGCTCCTACGAAACATGGATCCATGATTTTCAAGATTTAACATTCAAATACCTTTCACAATATTCGATTGTACCGGAAACGCGTCGGCAACATACATCTGCGATGGATATTCAATATGAAACTCGTCAGCAGCTCTGGTTTTAGCTTTTTTAAGTGTCTCCATCAATAATATGCAACCCTGAAAACTAGTATTTAAAAAAGGAGTAAATCTATTCTAAACCTTCAACTGCTGCATATCTAACTGTGTGATAGCCTCGTCAACATTCATTTTCCAAACCAATTGACAGGCGGCCCACATTCTTTTTGGCGAAAAGTGAACGGATTCTTTGCAGTGGAACACTTCTTTTGCTTTCGGAAGCCCAGTCTCCGGCACAATATAATTTGGTGGCCAGACAACCTGAATAGGAAGCATATGCAGGTGGTTCCAGAGAATGAATTCTATAGTTTACAACCCACTTTATTATAGTACTCCCATTTCTCTGGAGTCATTCCGTATCCCTTCAGTGGGTCAACAAAGCCTTCTTCCATGTTTGGTTTCTGCTCCAAATCCCATTCTGGTGCGAAGTAGACTTTCGACGATAGCTGCTCATCTTTTTGAAGTTTTGGAATGCGGAGTTTCGAACGTCGTTCCCAAATCTCTTTCGCTGAGAGATCCTCTTTTTTGACTGGAATAGAGAGGACGGCAGAGGATGTGCTGACTGCTCGACATGCCTCGGTTCCAGATCGAACCAGCACTCGTAACATTCTGGATGATTTCGTTTTTATATTTAAGATACATTATCAACCAGGGAAAAATAATTGAGATCAGAACGACTACAGCCAGACTGATAAAAATGAATCAAACAAAAAAAAAGAAATTTTGATATCAAAATATTCATTCGGTACAAATGAAAAAAGAAGCAATGAAAGTTCATTTTTGTGCAGCTTTGAGAGCACTGTCCATCTTCGAACGATGTCTGGTGTGATGTTTGGAGCGACTCTTCTCTCTTGGCTGACGGACACTTTCAAACTTTTCGACTTGAGCGATCCGCGGAGAATTTGTCTTCTGGGTCGGCGCTTCGTCAGCAAGCATTGGAGGATTTATTGCAGATCCTCTTTTGGATGTAGAGTTGGCCTGCTTCTTGAAAATGTCGATGATCTTGAAAACGACGCCTTCAAGTTCTTCCAGAATTGGACCAGCTGCACCGAGCCCTTCACCACCCTGGAAACAATTGAAATGTTTACTAAAATGTATAGGAAACCGCTTACCTTCTCCACTTCTTTGCGATGCCACGCGAGCAGGAGGTAGGCAACTAGTCCGAGTAGGATCAGTTCGAGTAGCATAGTGAACACAAGAAAGTTAAGAATACATCGATTAATTATAGAATTTGAACAAGATGAAAAAAAAGGAATTTGAATAAGACAAAAGTCACGGGGGAAATATTGGAATAGCAGGAGAATGGGGAACGTATAAGCATGATGCAACCGGGGGACAATTCAATTGGCCTAGAAGAAAACCCGTTAAGCTAATCTCAACCGATACAGAGAGCAAAAAATGGAAAACCTAAACAAAGAGTGAGCTTTGGCACAAAGCAAATGGAGCAGAAATTTATCACCGGGGGAGGAAAGAATAGAATAGAAAATAAAGTACATATATTTACAAAAATCTATCAGAACGCGTTATTCGAGGTTAAAAGCATGCAGACATTGCAGGCATGAAGTCAGCGTTTTCAATTCGAATCAGTGGCCTCTTTCTGAACGATAGCGGTGGCAAGAGGAGATTCGAAAGAAGGATCAAGCTGTGGTTGAGGAGTGGAAGGTTGGGTGTTGTCGGCAGAAGTGGAAAGCGTTCCACGGCCAGATCTGATGACTGACGGGAGAGAGATACCAGTAAGTCAGCAGTTTCTTGTTCTTCTGCGAAGATCTGAAAAATACTTGATGGGAGATCAATTAATGAATCTTCTGGATTACCGATTCCTTCATTTGTATGTATTCATCGGTTGGGAATATATCGACGGTTTCCTTGATCAATATCAGCATTTTTTCGAGATCACTGAAAGTTGAATTCTGTTCACAATTTTCTATTATGTCAGTGAAAAAATAACTATTATCGCTGCCTGAGAAAAAAAAGTTAGAGAGTATTATTTGCAGTATGAATACGGTAACAAACTCGAAGCGACAAGCATAAATAGCACACATTATATGGAGACGCAGACAGTTTATCTCTGCTTCTCAACCTTTTTTTCTCAGACAACAATAATATGGAACATAAAAATTTCAGCGAAATCGTCGAAAGGGCAATCGAAAAAATACCGGAAAATAACAATATTCTCAGGTTACGATGGTTTTTTTTCAAACTCACTCATCAGATTTCTTGTCGACACCGGTTAAGTTTTTCAACAGATCTTCCGCCTTCTTTGCAACAGTGGCAATCGTTTCGATGGTCCCTTCTAGCACATACATCGCTTGATTACATGCTGAGTTCAGTACTGACAGAGGCGGTGCCATATGTCCAGAAGTGTATGCTTCGAACTCAGCCTTCTCCATTTGAAGGCTTTCGTGATTCATATTTCTCGCGAATTCGAGAGCGCATGAGAGGTTGGTGAAGAAGTATGCTGAAAAAAGGAAAGAGGGATAAACAAAGGAGACATTCTCAAAACGAACCAGCTTCTCCACTCATGAGCCGTGCTGGAACAGCGAATCTCGATATGAATTTTACGTTTGATTGAATCAACGGCGGATTCCCACGGAAAAGTATGTATATCAAAGTGGGAAGGAATTCATCAGCTGATGTCGATGACTCTGGAAAATTTTTGATGTATTTTTTGATACTAACTATAAATAAAATAATCAACATACCACTTTCTTTAAGAGCTTCGAATATCGCTTTACAAGAGCGAGTGAGGCAGTCGAGTTTCTCAAATGCCGATTTCTTCGCATTGATTTCAATCAATTCCGTTATTGCTTCATCAACTTTGTCTCTAACATTTTGCTTCTTGAACACCAGCTTTGTCTCCAGAAACCCAGCAGTAACCCAATGAAGGGATCGAATCCTATCCTGTAATGACATATCGGCCACTTCTTCATCGTGACTGGCGCAGAAGAACATCGCATAACAGCATGTTGATATATACTTCTCCACTTGGTCCATCACATCTTCCACTTTCACCTTACAATCAGGTGAGTTGAAATACGAGTGCACACCAATTCGGTCTCCGAGATATTGATAATAACTAATGACGAGATCTGACATATCTTCTGAGTTCAATCTCATTTCCGAAATCTTGTTCACCGCATTCTTCACAGAGCGTGCAATTTCTTGAGCCATTGCTGTTGACAAATTGGCAACCAGGAAGTCCGAAAACTGCTTACGGGCTTCCAAAGAGTCTGGCGATAGGTCACGTCGTCTGGAATACAATAACTTATTCTCGAAACTCTTTTCTATCTCTTTTCAATGCCTTCTACTCTATTATGCATCCTCCCTTCCCATGCAAATTTCCTAGCTTCTCTAAGTCTAAGTCCCCCTATGCACTTTCAGAATGAGTGTACTTCCATTGTGCTTCCAGCTGACTAATACCCTTTTATGTACTTTGAAGTACACAGTTATACGACAATGTGAAAAGATGAAGCTTCCAGTTATTGAGAGTGGAAAACAGCAGTATCGCTCGTCGTGCGTGTGGCCAATTTCCTTCTACTTGTTTTTCCATCTAGGAGCAGAACTAGAAGAAAAAGAACACAAAACTACGACGGCTATTCTCAAAACAACAAGAAAGAAACGAATAGAGAAGTAGACGATGTCTCGAGAAGATTCTCGCGAATCTGTGAACCAATCTATGAGTCAGAGCCCACCCGGTTAGCCTTTCAGAGGAAATTTTGAATTTTCGAAATCGGGAATGTTTAGAAATTCTGAGTTTCTGACGCATGATTATCAAAGTATGTCTCTTTCAAAGATTGAATTTCAAGACTAGCGCAGTTACATGCCCTTGGATTGTAGTTCTAAAGGATTCCTGGGAGAAATACTCATTTGGTATTCGGTCACGCATAGGGAAAGTGCTCAGCTGTGAGCTGTTTTCTATTCTTTCTCATTCAATTAGATGCTAGAACACAAAGTTCTCTTTTTTTTTTTTGCTTCCTCCTCTATTCGTATAGAAGAGCAACAAACGACTAAAAATGGAAGGGTGTGCGTAAATATACAGCTATACGGGGACTTGCACTAGAAAAAACACAACAAGAAGAAGTCGGATGCGATACGAAAGACCACACAGAGGCAGCGAAAAACAACAACAAAGCGAACGAATCAGTGTGCGGAATTTTAGACTACTCACCGAGTTGGGGTGCTCGAGGGTGATGTAGATGTCGGGGAGCTTGTTCCGCTTTCTGGAAGAAAAGGAATTTTTTAATTACCGTAAAAGCTGTATTAGAAGGGCCCTCTCCGAAATTAGTTTTTTTGAAAATAAAAATTTCCGTACTTTTTCAATGATTCCGGGAATTCTATCCCGGGAATTCCACAATATAATAGCAATTTGTTGAAAGACCTTTTTTAAATGAAAAAACTTGCTAAAATTTTAGTGAAATTGATAGATTTTCATGAATTTTGAAAGTAAATTCGGGAAAAATAGCCGGAAAAAGAGGAGAGCCTCCTCTAACTGTAGGCCACCTTGTCGACTCACCAGGGATGGGAGACGTTTTGAACAAGTTTTTGATGCCACGAGACTTGCTTTCCGTCGTCGATTTCCTTCTTTCCTGGAACTGATCGAAGCTCAAAAGTGATCTGAAATCAAACATAAATCGAAAAGAGTTGAAATTCGAAAGTCGGATATTTACTTGTTTTTTGCGAAATCTTGACTCTTTTTCAGCTCGTTCTGATGGGCTCTCCAACACTTTGAACATCGATTCTCCCATTGCGGAGTTCCATAGAATCCACAGCCATTTACGCATAACTGAAATTCTCCATACAACTTCTCCTAATCTCAGTGATATGACTCACTAAATCGTTTGCTTTCAAATGCATCTTCGCTTTCTTACTCTCATCCTCCTCACCATGCTTATCTGACATAACTCTTTGAGTCTGAAAAATGAGAAACTTCCTTGAGATTAAAAACAGGAAGAAAAAAAAGAAGCAAGAATTCTATTAGTCAGGGACTTTGGAAAAGGGGAAAATGTGTTGTACCCCCCTTCAGAAGGGGAAGCTTCTGGAGGTTTATGGAAGAACGAGGAGCGGAAACTGGGACGAAACGCTGGTCACAAGTTTTGGTCATCTCTGCGCCTCCTATATCTAGCTCACCGAAATTCCTGGCTCCGCCCCTTTTGCGCGAGTATAGAAACAGCTGAAAAATGGATAGCTGACTCGATTCGAAAGAATGAGAAGGGCATAGTCGGAAATCCGATCAACTTCTTTTTGTTAGGAGAACGGGTCTGGGAGTTGTTTGAGTTTTCCAACCTAATGAAAAATGGGAACAAAGATTAATCAGAAATCGAAAGGGAAAATAGCGACAATGAGGAATGAAACGAAGACCAATTAACTGAACAGGATTATATACGAGGAAGAAACAGTGGGCGGAGTCACATTCACGACTCGTTTCGTGCGTCGAAGAGAGCTCTTTCATATTCACTGGAATCGGATTATGTACGGAAGTGAATAACTAATGCGAGTACGAATCACTAGATATTGGACTTTGCTTCTTCTTCCGAACTGCTTGTACTCAGAAAACGATTTTTCAAATACAATTAAACAACCGGTTTCAGATAAATGAGGACTTATAAACAAAACCCGGGAAAACGAAATGGATAATTTGATTCAGATTGATCTTTGAAAACAACAGCAGGTGGAAAAAACACGGTTACTCATGAAATTTTTTTTGAACTGCGAACAATGTTTTTTCAAACACACAAAATATAATTTTTATGCACGCATGAACAGGTTCAAAAAACATTGAAAACACATTTTTTATTTCGTGAATAACCCAAAAGAGCGATTCATATCAATGATTTTCTATTAAGATGATGAAACTTTAAGGGGAAACTTCAAAAAGCCGCAATTCTAAAATTATCGAAAATTTTCTTTAAAAGGGATGAGAAATAACTCAAAAATAGAGAAGAAAACGGGCTCGAAAATGAATATTCATCGCAAAAATTGAATAAAAAACTACAGTAACTTAAAGGTACATAAAACAAAATTAGTTTGGGCTTAGAATGGAAATTAGCTTTTGGTATTCGATGGAGTTAATTTTTAAAAAAACTTGAGAATTCCGGCTAAAAGGAAGAAAAAAGTATAAGACACAGAAAAAAAATAATGCTTAAAAAATGTAAGCAGACAAGATTGAAATTATACACTTATCGCAAAAATCGGATAAAATTTGGTAAAAAACTTATAAAAACTACTGTAACTTAAAGGAACATGCAACAAAAAGTACGTGTGTTTCGAATGGATATTATCTCATGGTATTTGCAGAATAAATTTTATGCAAAAATGGGAAAGAAAACTTGAGAATTCAGCTTAAGCTGAAATGATAATTATAAAAAGAATCTCATCTCTGTAATACTAAATTAAAACTGTATTTTTGACATACAAAGCGTTTCAGACCCATCGAAAATTCAGTAATTGTTTCTTATTGCTGAAAACGTATTACTGTATCTTCTAATATCTCAAAATTTACAAAAACAGAAGCATGGTTTCGTAAAAGGTTTACGAAATCAAACAGTTGAATAAATATGACAATTGCTCATCGTAAAAACGGAACATGTTTGATTTTTAAGAAACTAGTACTGTAGCTACAGTACTACTAACTTGGAGAATCGAGGAAGCCATTACAAAGATCTTTAATCCTCTTAATCCAAAAGAGCTAATTAAAATTTTCATTAAACTCTTAATTTTAATGTATCTAATTCAATTATCAATTTGTACTAAATACATCTGCATGACCGAAAAAATGACTTCTGGGTGGCATTTGTTCTGGTCAATTAGCAAAAACATGCAGATTTAATCCCCCATGGGAGAGTCTGAATCATCAGCAGTTTGTCGTCAACTTCCGTGCCTACGGACATCAGAGTGTGTACTCTTGGTTCTCTCGTGACGCTTCTCTCAACCGTTTCCCTCTGCATCACGTTTGAATTGCTGCCCCCAGCTGACTGACTGGTCGGAAATATACTCTGATCAATATCTGTTTTTTTTGTAATGGTAGAATCAATAAGTACTAGTGAAAGTTCTATTGGAAATACCATTGTGACCTTTCTCCCTTCCATGGTTTTATGATTTTTTACTTCAACTATTGAACATGATTTATTCTGGACCCATTATATTTTATCTTTCTTTCATAGTCAATAAAGTTTACATATATTTCAGATATGAGTAAAATTTCACAAGCAGCCATCACCCTTGAGCAATCAGGATTCACGATTGCTGACAGAAATGGGTTCAAGATGTTTCAATTCTTCCCCCTTCACTTTAGGATGTACAAAAACAAGGGTAAGTTGATTCGAACTTTTAATCTAAACTATATTTTGATTTTTGTAGTTCCTGATGTTGGGCCCATCAGAATCGCAAAACAGATGGGATCTTCGAATCTCGTATGTCTTGTACCTGGTGTCAATGGAAATTATTCTCAAAACAATGTAATCGTTTTCAATGTGGAGGCGAATCGTGGTGTGACAGAAATCACGATTCCTTCGAGATACGGAGCAGTCACAAACATCCATGTCTCTCATAACCGTCTTGCCGTATTCACATGTCAAAGAGTCTATGTCTATAGCTTTCCAAATGACATTCAACAAATTCGATCGGAAGAAATTCGAAGCAACCCAAAAGGAATCTCAGCAATGAGCTATGATCCAACCACAACTTCTTGTTATTTGGCCTATCCTGGATACAAAGAAGGAACGATCCACATCATGAATTTGAACACTCTCACAGCCCGTGAATCAAAATCCCCAATTGTAATTGACGCCCATCTCACCGAAGTTGCCCAAGTTGCTCTAAATTGCCAAGGGACTCTTGTTGCCTCTGGTTCCATCAAAGGTACTGTAGTTAGAGTTTTCGATGCCAGGACCAAAGGAATGCTATACGAGCTTCGTCGTGGAACGGTTCAAGCTCATCTCCAATGTATCGCCTTCTCATCTTGCTCTAGTTTCCTGGGAGTTGCAAGTGACAAAGGAACACTTCACATCTTTGGAATTCGGGATGCCGAACCACAAAAGAAGATGACAATGCTTGAAAGGAACTGTGGAACCAGCAGTATCCTGAGGATCCAACTGGACCGTCAAGTCTTGGCTCTTGGCTTCAGCAAACGTAAGTTCGCATTTCCCCTACTCTTATCAACTCATAAAACAGTAAAAAATATGAATAAATTCCAGAATCAGCAAGGCATCTGCCCGGAATAGTAGCTATCTGCTCAGATGGAACATACTGGAGATACCACTTCAGCAAAGACAATACTTCTGGAAAGTGTACCGCCGTTCTTCCACCATTCTTCGAGCAACTACCGGACTTTGCCGAAGATGCTGCATTCTTCCGTACTCCCCTGGATTAAACTGTCCCAATCTTTTTAATGATGTTCAAGGTGTCTTTTTCAGCTTCCCCGTTGTATATGTATATGTTCATACATTTTCCCTTCTATCCCTAATCATTTTCTATATATTTAACCTTGTTCGATTTGTGAAATATGTAGAAATTCCCCTACCTCTTTCAATTTGAAGTGCCTTTTGATTTTGAAATTATATACATTCTTGTTGTTCAATTTTTGGTTCGAAGAACCCCAAAAAATAAAAAATTGTGTGTCAATTCAGAACTGCTGTTGAATTTGTCTGTTTCTCTGTTTTCTCGGTGCATTACTTCACAAAAAGTTCGGAATAAGTAGAAGCAGAGCTTCAAAACGAAAATAGTGCACTTTTTCATCAATTTTCGGTGAAAAATCCCGAAAAAAGAGAAGAAAATCCGCAATTGTTTTACCGTATAACAATTTAAAGGGACATACGCCCTCTCTTTCAGAGCTAGAATCAACAAAATCCTTTGAAGGATTATACGGTAGATTGTTGGTCTTGCAGCGAACTGCCAAATTTCCTGCAAACATTTTCTCGCTTCAGTGCAGTTCTCTAGAAAAATAGCTATTTTTTCAAGATGTTTCCAGAAACTTTATTTATTTAGCAGCTATTTAATATCAAAAATAAAGTCGTAATTTTCAGCAGTTGTGTCATTCAAAAGCACAATTAGAAGCACCTCAGTGCTTTTATGGTTCATAAAAAGTTCGAAAATCCAGTTTCGACTAAACAATCCACTTTTATCGACCGAACGCCACACCCGGCAGCACGAAACTATCTCGATGAAATGGCTCCAATCAACGGATTCCACAAGGAGAATGCCGATTCGATTCGTCTTCGTGAATCGTTCCGTGATGAGGTGTCCAAAAGAATGGGTGAATTGTTGCTGAAAGGACAAACCATGCTTGATGAGTACTGCCCGACATGCAGTGTACGTTTTTGTATTTTTAATATAAAAATTGTCCATTTTTCAGGGAATTCTGATGGAAGATCGTACAGGAGTGCGCCGCTGTGTAACTTGTGAGCTATTCCAAGAGAAAACGGCTTCCTTGATTGTAGCGGAGATTCCATTGCGTAAGTACTTCATTGAAAACGTTTGAAGCTTTGAAAGCGTTAGACGTTTTACACGTTTGCTTTACAGAAGAAGAAGATCTGGAAGAAGCAGTCAATGAACCGCCAGTCCAACATTCAGTTCCTGTGGAGAAGACAGTCCCAAGGAAAGTGGTTGTTCCGAAGCCAGCTCCTTCTGCTCCTGTTGCTAAAAAATCGAAAAAAGTCACAAGTTCCACGAAAGAATGTAACCAATCCGAAGCAATCGAGGCTGCTAGAAATGCGGTGATTCGTAAACTCGAATGGGCAACATCTAAATTGGATTCTGCTGAAGACGTGGATAGTGTCTCCGATTTTCTATCTCTTATTCAGAAGTCTGCCGAAACCTTGCAATCTCTTCAAATCTAAATCTTATCATTGCTTTGATTTTTGCTTCAATTTTTTGCACCGTTGATCTTATTGTTGGAATTGATAAATGCTTTACTGCTATAAGATATCTAACAGATTCGGCAATTAGTGACGTCATAGAAATATCGATTTTCGGAAGATCCCATATGCAAGCTAATTTTTTAGATGTTCCGATCGCTTCTCAGTAATGCCGAAATCAAACCTAATTTACTGTTCCGGAAAGCAAAACTGGCTAAAAAATCAGTAGAAAAATACAAGGCAAAAAAGTGCGTGGCGAAGAAAAAGAAACTAAAAATTTAAAAATTCAGAATCGAAATTCCTGAGTTAAAAGGAGAAGCGCTGTTTGGTCTTCATTCTGTTTTAGAAGCGATGCGATCTGGAAAACGAGAATTTCATTCCGTTTATTTAAAGAAGACACTTGAGTACGTTTGGGATATTTGATAGCTTTTTGACTACAATCTGGTTTTAGAAAACGTGCAGAATCCGATGATCGAATCAAAGAGGTTCTGGAGAAAATTAAAAATATGGGGATCCGAAAAGAATTGTTAACAGATGATCAACTGGATAGGCTCACTGAATATCAACTACATAACGTAAAAATCATAATTGCTCGGCACATAGCTTTCGACTTTTTAGGGAATCTGCATGGATGCGAGTGCTCTGAAATTTTCAAGTTTTCAACCAAAGAATGTTTCAATTTTCGTTGATAAAGTTCTTGATCCTGGAAACCTTGGAGCAATTGGAAGAAGTGCGTGGTTCTTCGGGGCTGATGGAGTTGGGCTTGTCAAAGGAAGAGGGTATTTTACTTCAGGGATGATTGGAACGTAATTCCAATCGGAAAATTTGCGAATTTTTTGGAATTTCTGAATACAGTAGTCAAAGGCGCACGCGAAAAGTTTCCTTGTGGATCTTGAAGTGAATTACTTTCAATTTGTTTTGTAAATTTTCATCAATTTTCGGCGTTTTTGTGATGCGAAAATGAGATTTCTACTTTGAAATTTGACTTTTAAAAATTCTGAATATTCCTGAATTCCTCAATTTTCAAAATCGGAGTTTTCGAAATTCTGAAAAATTCCAAAACGCCATTCCGAACTCCCTGATTTTAGTTTCTGAACCCCCACCAAATCACTTTTTCAGACCCAAAAGTGTCACTCCTTCAATGATCAAGTCCTCATGTGGAGCTCTCGAACATCTTCCCGTCCAACAATTCGAAGGATTTCACGAGTTTCGAGATCAAATCAAATCCAACGGAGGAGAAATCGTTGCCACTTGCGATCCATTAGCAGCTAAAAAAGCTGGAATAACAGCGAAATCATTAGACCAATGGAAGCCCCATAAAACCGTTGGAATTGTGCTAGGAGACGAGGGAGTAGGAATTAGTCGAGGGATTCTGAATCTCTGTGATACAGTAATCTCGATCGCTCCAGTCGGTGAACATCAATCAAATGTGACGTCATTGAATGTTTCTGTTGTAGCAGGTAACCCTATAAGCAAAATCCATTCAATATTACAAATCTATTCCAGGAATTCTCCTTCATCACATCTTGTTACAACACAACCGTACAAATTGAAACAATCGTTTGGAGACGGTGTTCGAGCCATCATCGGTGTCACGTTTGCACACCTGCTGCTGCTCCCCTGATATTTTTAGTCGGCATGTGTACTATATAATTCGGAGTGACCACCCTAGGATCCTCATATTCAATTTCGTTATGTTGTTACCTATTTCATTTTTATTTCTACTCTCATTTGTTTCTGCTATTGAAAATTCGACTGATAATGAACTTTGTTCTAATGGAGTGACACCTGGAAACTGTAGGGAACTGATGGAAATATAAGTTTGGATAATTTGGGGATTTTAGTGTGTCAACTGGTGCCGTCTAGTGGATATGAGTGTTCCAATTCAAACTCTACAACAAGTTGGTGTGAGAGTTTCAATGGAAAATATAAATGTTGTGAGTGATACGTAGATTCTGAAAATTTATTTAAAGGCGAATCGTCGGTGCAGTAACGAAAAAATCTTCAATTTTTTGAATAAATGTATGCGCCTTTGATACTGTACTACGAAATTAATTGATTTTGACCCTTTTTCGGCTGTTTTTCTACATACTTTATAAGGAAATTCAGCTGATTATAAATGAAAATCAAAAGAAAATCAACGAAAAAGAGCAAAAATATAATTATTTCGAGATACGGTATCGAAATCGCATGCATTTTCTAGAAAGAATTTCAATTTTTTGCTTCAAGAACGACGATGCGCTTTTAAATAAAACTTCGGCCACAAAATTTCATCGTCGCCGGAAAGGAATAATAAAAAATAAATATCACATATTCTAGGTGAAAAATCCACAAACAAATGTAAAGATAGAAGTTCATTCTGTCGACTGACCAAACATTTGTGCAAAAGTAAATCAGACTTTGCGACAATGAAAGCGAAATGTGAAGCCACTTGTGGATTCTGTGGTCTGAAAACTTTTGAAGATTCCGAGGAAACTAGAAAGCGAATGGATCAGTTGGCTAGAGGACAAGAGTGTGATCTACCAAGAAAATGTGTTTTCCCAAGAAACAAAATGCTGAACTCGACTGGAAGTCCCAAGCCAACAACTGTTGTGATTGACCCAATAGTTGCATACAAGTCGAAAATTAACTGGAATGCTACTTCGACAGTAGAGTCTACTAGTATTGCTCCTAATGTAACCCGAGATTACAATTCTACGAATTTCACGACTTCTGGTAAAAGCTGCAAATGGGAAGAATAAATTTGAGAAGTTTCAAAAATAATTTTTCAGAGACATCCAATGTTACAAAATTCGATTTGAAAACTATCCTTGTTTCTGCTGGAACACCAAGCCTCACTTCCACAATGTCGCTACGAACCGGAATCCCCAGAAGACATGAATCTTCAAAAGAGAATTTGAAGACGTTTGCTTCAAGAAGAAGAAATGAAACAACGACGACTTCTATCACTCTTCCAACATCGTTCAATTCCACGACGACCACTATGAGAAAGTTAAAACTCGAAGAGTTGACGGCTACTAGAGTGAGTGGACCTAGAAGAAGACTTTTAAAATCAAAATGGTCTGCTTTAAAAGTTTTTAGATACTGAGTAACCTGTAATAGAAGAACCCCCACACTGTCAAGTTTGAGCATAATTATCTCGACTCCTATAAGAGATATCAAAAACGTGTAAACTGACAAAATGTTTTTGATGTTATAAGTTGTAACATCAAAAACATTTTGTCAGTTGACCACTTTTTGGTATCTTCTGCAGGAATCGAGATAGTTGAGCTCAAAGATGGCGGTTTGGGTGGGCTTCTATTAAAGGGAAAATTCCGACAGGAACCGAGACGTGAAAGTTGAGAGGTCGACAGCCGACCGACCGGGGACGACTAGTTAACTTTGAGCTCAATAATCTCGGCTCCTGTGAGAGGTTTCAAAAATGTGTTTACTTACAAAGTGTTGGTGATTTCATGACAAACATTTTATCAGTAGACAACGTTTTTATATCTTTAACAGAAACCCAGATAAATTGGCTCAAAGTTGAACATCTGAACGTTAAGGGGCCCTTCTGTAACAGGTTTTACGGTATCACTTGGATAATCGAAAAAAAAACCCCGAAATTAAAAAATTAATCCATAACAACTGGCTCTTTCCTCATGATTCAGAAGGTGTTACGTCTTCTGAAGCGGATACTTAGAAATCCCAAGAGAACGCTTAAAAAAGTTTTGAGAGTTATGTCATGTTTATATTCATTTTCAAGCTGACAATGTGATAGTTTCTTATTATAAAATCTAAATCTAACGATAATCTAGAAAATTATGATCAAAACAAATTTTTATGTTGAGTTTCCATCTGTTTTCAAATTGTTTTGAAAACTAAAAATCTCTTCTTTTCAGGACACCCTACCAAAAATCACTACTGCCGAGCCAAGTGCTCTCACAACTTCCCTTTCAAAGACAGTAATCCAAGGAACCTGTTTCGATGAGTACACCTATTGCCGAGAATTCACTTCTCTCTGTTCCCATCCAGCATTCTCTGAAGTTATGGCTTCCCATTGCTCATTGACTTGTGACAGATGTGACGAAGTGGAGAGAGTCGAAGAGGGCTCTGGTGAGAATTTTGAAGTTATGAATTTTTAAAATTCTTTTAACTTTTGTAGAAGACTGCGAGGACATGACACCAGACTGCAATAACTATCGAGATCTTTGCCAACACCCTCGATATAAGACTTTGATGGAAAACTACTGTCCAAAAGCATGTGGACATTGTATTCCAATGTGTAGGGATCGTCATCAAAAGTAAGTAACTCATTAATTAAATGAGTACCTTATTAGAATATTTCCAGCTGTCCTCAATTCTTCGACGATGGATTCTGCAACGATACGATGTACACCCAGGAAGAACGGAAATATCTGTGTGGAGCAACTTGTCTAATGTGCTAATATTGTTGTTATTTATTACTGGTTCTACATATTTGTATATAAATTGTTCTACCACTGCTATACAATGTCGAAAAATAAGAATTCGATTATTAACGAAATGCACACAATGACTCATAACAGGAAAACGGGGCGATTTCTCAAATAATGTGGGTGTGTATTAGGAAGGAAAAGACTGTTCACTTCCAAGTTGGTTTTTTAAAATGGAGAAATTAAATGTTTGCAAATTTATTAAAAATTTCAAATTTAAACAATTTTAGACAATTTCAAGAAGTTAGAATACCGATCTTTTGACATACCGTAAACACTCTAGATGTCCACCCAACTTCGAGCAAATTTTATCTCGGTTCTTGGGAAAGATACAAAAAAGTTGTCAACTGATAAAATGTTAATTATGTTATGATAAATAATTTATCAGTTAACAAGATTTTGATATCTCTTACAGGAAATGAGATATAAAGCTCAAAGTTGATGCTTTGGGTGGGCTTCTATTAGAGGGTTACTGTAACTTCAGTGTTTTCCATCAAATTGAATTTTTGGGATAGTCATCTGATTAATGTTTACGAATCTGAAATTCATAATCTTCTGAATCTCGAAGAACCTGAGGAAAGGAGTTAATGATTTAGAAGTTTTTTTAGGTTTGAATTTCGGAAACGTTTCATTCCAAAACTACTGTAGACACGAAGTCTGTAAAAAACAGAAATTCAGGAAACTTTTCAATACAACTTTTTGAACATTTAACATTTCCAAAACTTTGTCATTATCTCTACCAGGTTTTTTGGATGATTTTTTTATGAAAATTTTCAAAATTAAAACTGTACGGTGGCGCATAATTATCCGGACTAAAGTTTGAACTACCACAAAATATTAGTAAAGCGTTGTACTGGGCTTAAATTTGGATTGCAAAAACTTAAATATTTCATCAGTAAACCGGTGAAGTTTCAAGTTATTTGATCACTTTTCAGCTGAGTTATCGCTTGTCAAAGTTGCTTCAACTCATAAAAATCACAAGAAACACTACTCTCTTCATCTTTGGACAATCATAACAATACCTAGACCTGAGGAATTGCATTGATATTTAGCTTTGAATCAAACGTAAAACTGTGTTTCGACCACTTTTTGTGCTTCCAAGATACCCAGGTCTGAAAATATACCCGTTTTATCATTCCGGGTAATTGTACGCCACCATGTAGGTCCCTAACTAGTTATCCAAATTCAGACCAAACTCTATTCAAGTTCCATGAAGTATGATCTCACATTGATTTTCACACAGTGCCGTTTTTTCTCCTCCATCCGACCTCTTATAAGTTCTTCCTTTTTTTCCCACAATCGTCTTGTCCATTTCAATGACCTGCCGCCAGAGGACCGATCCCCTTTTTCTTCTTTTTTCTTCTTTTTCCACTTCTCCTATTTGCATACTTTGGATTATCACACACTCTCTACCCGCCTATTCCGCTTTTTTTTGAAATCGAGAGCCATTTTTCTGCCCCATTTCCTTTTTCCTCACTTCACTTGCAAAAAACTGTCTGGTCTCATTCCGTCCCATTTCAATTCTTGCAAAACCAATGAAACATTGTTCATTGAACAGTAATAAAAGAGTGGAGGTCCTAGACCCCAATTATAGTATCCCTGGCTTATTAAGTGAGTGACTATGTCCTTCGTTCGTGTTTTGTGTTCCGCATTGTTAGTTTTCGCCTCTAAAAGGGTATATGTCTGTGTATGTGTTTGATTACTAAATGTTATGTTCGTTCCAGTGAGTCTCTTGGAAAACGGGAGGAGAAAACTGGTGCGAGAAAAGATGGATAAACTTAATTTCGCCGGCGAGCGAGACGTCGCCCCAAAATTGGCGAGTGTTTGTGTCGTTTTTCTGACAGATCTGAGCTCACCTCTAAACTTTTCTTCCTTTTTTTGCCTTTTTAACTTTAAAAATCAAAAATCCCGAAGACCGGAACGAAGATGACGTGTGGAGATGTCACGGAAAGTAGGTTTCGATTCAAAAAAAGGTTTTCACTCTCGCCGATTTCCGTTACTTTTGAACTTTCACTTCGTTTGATTTCTTGGAGAAGGAAGAGGTGAAAAGTTCATAACCACACGGATACATGGTCAAGATTCTTTGAAAAGTGTGAGAGCTTGGTTTTTTGATTTTCAAGGAACTTAAAGTTTGACTGTTGAACTTTTCCGCCAAAACTTCGATTATTCAATATTTAGAGATTTTAAGAGCAAGCTCAATTTCTAGTTTTTTAAAGCTCCATTCTCCTTAATTGGGTACTTTGGTAGCACATAAAACCAAATTTCCATTTTTTCTGGATAAACCAAAAAATGATTTTTGATTAAAATAGAAAGTCTACCGTATGTCCTCTAATAGAAACCACTCAGACCGCGAACTTTGAGCTCAAATATCTCAATTCCTGTGAAAGATACCAAAAATGCCTCAAATGATAAAATGTTGCTGATATTATAATGAACACTTTATCAGTTGAAGCATTTTTGATATTTTTACAGGAATCGAGATAAATGTGCTCAAAGCTAACAAGTCGGCGCTTGCTGGCCGAGCAAGGCGATTGGCGGCCGAACTCTCAATTATCTCAAGTTCTATAAGAGATATTGAACATTTATCCACTGATAAAATATTGGTAACATTATGATAATCATTTTATCAGTTAACCACTTTTTGATATCTTCTGCAGGAATCGAGATATTTGAGCTCAAAGATGGCGGTTTGGGTGGGCTTCTATTAAAGCTAAAAGCTCAACTAATTCTTCTCTATAAGTTTTTAAATGGCTCCACCTACTTTCCAAACCTAAGTGCACATATTAAATATTCCTTCTCCCCTCGTCGCCCTATGAACTTAATTAAGGTTCAGAATCCTTAATTTCTTCTAGTATTACTCGTTATTGATATATTTGCTCCCCTATTTTCTCTTCTTCTAACGGCTACATTTTTCCTGTGTCAAATATCTGAAATATCCCGTTTTCCCTACTCAGATCGGCCTCGCGAGGGGCATTTTCTGATTCTTTAATGTCTTGCCCTCTAATGTTTTATTACACCTGATCAATAAACAAAAATTACAAAATTACAAAGGGAAAGTTTCGAATCTTCCAGTCTCGCAATCCAATCTTTATTCTTTGTTTTCATGATAATTATGTTTTCCCGAAGATTCTCCTCCAATGAAAATTAAACAGAATTCGCCAGAGAAAAACAACCATCTTCCTACTTTTCCTTCACACAATTCCAGAATTTTCAAATTGACTCATTTCAGAGAAATCCAATCAATTATAATATTTTTTAGTTCAAGATCTTTCGGAAAAATCAAAAATAGAGTACTTTTTAGTATATCTCATAAAATGGGAGAACCCATTCAAAAACTCTTTCCGGAAGGGTTCCAGTGCACTCAATCAGAACAATGCATTCATTCGAGTTCTCTCTTTTTTATTTGGTTCTACTTTTTTCTGATTCATTCCTTTTTCATTTTCTTGTAGTCGTCACACGTCATCTGACTGTGAAAGCATGTTATTACTGAACGAAGAGATCCGGTTCCTGGTACAGAAATCATGAATTTTGGAATTTTTTGAGATTTCGAGAGATCTTATAAAATGTTAAAATATCATCTTGGATCAGTTTGTTTCGAAACGTATAGATTGTTGGAAAGTGATGAGATACATATGTTTAAGCCCTCCAATTTAGCCTATAGAAGTTTTTTCTAAGAGTTGAACACATAGATTTTACAGGGTGGTGCAAAATTACCCAGACTGATAAAAACTGGTATATCTTTAGACACAGGCATCGTGGAAGCCCGAAAACTGGTTGAAATATAATTTTACGTTTGATGATTCAAAGCTACTGAACTTTTCAAAGAGACTCATCAAGTCTAGGTATTGTTATGATTATCGAAAGATGAACGGCGTAATGTTTCATTGTGATATTCATAAGTTTAAGCAACTTTGATAAGCGATAACTCAGCTCAAAGTTGGCCAAATAATTTGAAACTTTGTCAGTTTACTGATGAATTGATTGAATTTTAGATCTCTAAATTTGAGGCAAGTACAACGTTTTACTCAAATGTTACGCTAGTACAAAATCGGGTCCTGGCAGTTAAGCGCCACACGGTTGGTCATTCATTGGATGAAGCCGTGCGGATTCAGAAGTGAAAGTTTTTAAAATTCGTTATAAAATTCTTATAAACCAAACAAGAAAATACATTTTTATTGTTGATAGTTTTTGTGCAGCGTTGCCAGGAAAAAAATTATGACTCATTGAAAATACAGAAAATGTTATTATTTTGGTTTTTGTCCGAATTTCAGTCGTAATAAATTTCTGAAAAAAAAACCTTGGATGTTATATTTTTCCCAAGGAATACTGAGGGTTTTTGCTGTCTTTCCTCTCTCAAACCATTTTGGTTTGAAACTTCAAGCAGGAATTCGAAACCCAAAACCTAGGCTAGAACATATTTTGTTACTTTAGAATCTGAAAATCTTGTAAGATCTCTAGTTCCGTTTCAATTCTCACTTCCTCATCCCTACAATTATAGTTCTGGCTACAAGTTGTTGAGTCAGCTTGACACCTTCTTTCTCTGAAATTAGAGACCTAATTCTTAAAAATAATGTTCTCTGCGTTAGACGAGGTCATTGATGCGAGTTCAGATTTCTTTCGTCATGTAGTAGTCAAATTGCCGACTCTTATACGATCAATCTCCACGTCACAATGTCCATTGAATTCCTAGTTTTGGCTTCAAGAGCAAAGTCGGCTGCTCAAACATGAGTTTTGAGTCCTTCTCTTGTTTCATATTGTCAATCCCCCCGGTCGTATCATCTAACAATCTGCCATCTCCCCTGAAATCTATACTATTTCTCCTATTCTTGATGTATTGGCGGGATCAAAAGTGTTCGGAGTGGAGTGAAAAGATGAAGGAGTTAGAAAAAGCATTTCATTTTCTTTTTTTGTTTCTGGTATGAAGTTCCTCTTCTTTTATTTTTTTTTTCTTTTTCCTCTTCTTCTTGTTCTTTTTCCACCGGTGAGTTTCAACACATGTGAAATCGAAGAAGACTCGTGTTGTCTCCGATTTCCGGGATTCCCTGCCTCTACTCTTTATTCTTCTTCCATAACGTCTTCTTCTTTTTCTTCTCCATTTTCTTACTATAGTTAAATAAACATTTCTGTGTTGGGGTCAACTGTTCCACCAGGAACAGTTCGAAAAATTCTCAACTGATAAAATGACTATCATAGTATCATCAATTCTTTATCAATTTACACATTTTTGATATCTTTTACATTAACCAAGATAAATTGGCTCAAACTTAAGAGGTCGGCAGCCGACCGCGTAGCTCGACCGGCAAACGCCGGCTTGTCAATTTTGAGCCAATTTATCTCGATTCCTATAAAAGATATCAAAAATTTGTCAACAAATAAAATGTTTATCATAATATCATTAACATTTTATTAGTTGACACATTTTTTATATCTCTTACAGAAATTCAGATAATTGAGCTCAAAGTAAAAGGGTAGTCTTCCATTAGAGTGTTTACGGTAGTTCTGTTTTTTTTTTTGCTCGGGGATTTGTTTTCTGAAAAACAGGAAATTGAATCTATCGTAATTATTGGGTGTCAGTCTCATCTTCGCTTTTTCTTCCAAAGCAAAAAAAACTCGCGAGTCACACTATTTTTTCCTCCCTTCGTTGACATCGAATTAAGCACACATAATCGAATCCTAGAAGTTTATTTCTTGTGTGTTTCGATTCTTGATCCTTTTCTTCTTTTCATTTTTCAGGAAGTTGAGATTCCAGTTAGAAGCCAGAGATTTTTTTTCGCAAAGTTCCTTTGATCTTCAATTCCGATACATTGGAAAAGCATGATTAATCTCAACGTTCTTGATACTTTTTGTAAAATGTCAACTGCTGTTTAAAAACATGTCCTCCAGTAGATTTTTTTTTTGAAAAAAGATTTGAGAAGAGATATAAAGTGATCAAAATCATGACTCAGAAGTTCTGGGCCAGAACCAGATAGATCCAAGTTCTGCGGAAATTGAATTGGGATAGCTATATTTTTTGAGAATGTGGTCTACTCGAATAGAGTCAGACATCAAAATATCAAGTTTACTGACAGTGATGTATTTTTATAATAGCGTTCTTTTTTGTGTTTTGAGACTATAATTATAGAAAATTTAAAATTAAAATGAGTTTGATGCCGTTCTCTGCTTAAACCGAAAACTTTGAGCACGGAAAAATAGGAACTTCGGAAGATCATAGAAGCTTCTTGAGGAGAAAGTTTTTTTTTTCCTTTCAAATCCTCAGCTTTGCTCTCAATTATCTCGATTCCTGTAAAAGATATGAAAACTTGTCAACTAATAAATATTTTATTATAATATCACCCATATTTGTTCAATTGACAGATTTCTGATATCTTTTATAGGAATCGAGATACAGTGATCGTAATAAATATATTTTTTGAAAAGTGTTTTTCAGTTTATTTTGACCATTTTCAGAAGTCCAGAGCTCGTGAGGTCAGTGTCCGATCAATTTGAAAATTTAGGAGGGTGTGAAACAGGCATAATATGAAAACTTTGCATCCACAAAGTTTTCTGAAAATTCCTAGTTTTTCAGCTCTTACCCATTTCCAAAAGACACCTATTTTTTCACGTTTCCAGTGAAAAAACTGAAAAATGGAGGGGTCCGTCAGAAATCGGCAAATAGCTGAAAAACTAGAAATTTTCGAAAATTCTGTGAAGGCATAGGTTTTAATCTTGGCCTGTTTCATAACGTCCAAAATTTTCAAAATGATCGGACACTTGACGGCCGAGCTCTAGACACCTGAAAATGGTTTCAATCAACTTAAAACGCGTTTTTACGATATTTATGGCCATCATTGAGCTAATTGAGCTCAAAGTTGAAAATTGCCTTCTATCAGAGGAAATACGGTATTTTAAAACTATAAACATTGGAGAATTCATTTTATTTTATTTTCTCTTGGAGTACCTTACTGAAATTCTTGACCTTCAGATTCACTCTTCACTGAACCACAACTAGAAAGTAGTACTGCAGTTTCCATCCTGTCGTATCTAATCCCAACCAACTTTTTATCCTCTGTTAAGTCAATTTCAAAATACAATATAAAATCTTGATGTGGACATACACTGTGTACTCAGTGATATCGATTCGAGTTGTTTTATCTTTTCCCATCCCCTTTTATTTGTTAACATTTTAATTTTAATCCTTTCTGCCTCATCTGCTTTTCTCAGAGTTTTTTCTCCCCACCCATATTACATCATCATCATCTCAAATCTTTTTTCCCCCTGCACTATACACATATTTCCGAATCCGATTACCACTGAAGAGCTTCTAAACCATTTTCCGTGAGATCGGATGACGTTACCTCCTTCTCAGAAGTTTCTTTTTGACGCCTTCTATTTTTGCATCCATCTTCTTTTTCAACGTCTTCTTTTTCTTTCTGCTCCACATTTTCTTCTTCCTATTCAACCTCCTATTCATTAGATGGACAAACTTCATCGGGGGCAAAAGCGGGCGGAGTCAACACTCACACTGCAGGCAGGGGGCACTTTCCTCCTCCTTTTCGGATTATTTTTCACCGAAAATCTTATGGAGGGTTGTCATTTTTTTGGGGATAGATAGAACTTGTACTCATCCTGTAATTACAGGGAATTTTATTTTAGAAGTGGCTTTTTGTGTGTTTTTTTGTGTTTTTCTAGAAAAACCGTGTAAAAATTATGTCTCTCAGAAAATTCACAATTTTTTCGGAGGTTCGAAAATGTTCACAACTTCCTGATACCAGAATTTTCATAAGTTTTGATTTCTATATTTTCGAAGATCCTTATCTGAAAAATTTTAAATCTAACTTACCGTAAACACTCAAATAATATGCAACCGAAACCGTTAACTTTGAGCTCATACATCTCCTTTCCTGTAAGAGATAACAAAAATTAATCAACTGACAAAATGATTATTATAATATCAACAACATTTTGTTAGTTGACCACTTTTTTCTATCTTTTGAAGAAATCGAGATAACTCAGCTCAAAGTAATCTCTTTGAGTGGGCTTCAATTAGAGGAAAAATGTTATTCAAAATAGCATTATAATAAAAAATTTAGCAATTAAATTTTTCAATAAATTTAAAACTTAGAATATGTGTCCTCATGGTTGTGAAATGAAAATCTAAAAGCAAAATTTTTAAAAATGTCGAAAAAAATGACCCCAAACAATTCCCTTCTTTAACTTCCCGTCCCTATTCTCTCTCTCCCGTTCCATTTTAGCTACTTCTCTTATTCCAAGTAGTCCCTCTTCGTTTTCCATTTCACTTGAGACTAATTCCCATTTCCTATACAATTCATTCCCACGAAAGAGAGAGCTAGACCACCTACCTCTCCCGTAACTAATAAACCCAAATTTCCATTGTTTCTCTGTTCTTACAAAGTACTTGTTTCCACGGAGACCCCCCCCCCCCTCTCTCTCTCTCTCTCTCTCTCTCTCTCTCTCTCTCTCTCTCTCTCTCTCTCTCGGTGATATTCCTGTAGGTAAGTAATAACTACTTGTCTTTTCTCTTCATTTTCATTCATTCTCTTGTTTTCTTCACAAACCCAAATAATTCATTTTCAAGGTCTTTTTGTTTGATTTTCTGTTATTTTTATTTCCCAATATCTTCTCCACACCCCCACTCATTTTTCTTCTTCATCCCACTTCTCAACTTTTGAGATATCTTTCCAAAAAAAAAAATTTTAACCACACCAGCTGGCGTCCCCTCATCTTCCGAAGAGAAGAAACTCGTTATCATCCTCTTGAATACTTCAAAAAATGTATATATTTTTTTAAACATGCACCACCCGCTTTTATTTTTCTCAAAAATTGTGTGAAAAGTGTGTCCAGATGCCATCACTTCGTCACTTTACTATTAGACTCGAAGTTCTCAGAAGAAATTATATATAATTTTTAATGGAACTCTCGAGGATCCAACTGATTCGAATTACAAAAAAAAATGTGTGGAGGAGTCTCGTTTTCTCAAATATTCTAGAATTGCTAAACACCTACTTCCTTCCCTTTCATTCTGATGAGTGCCAACCATTCGTTCAAGGATTCTGATTTCAGAATCTCAGATTGGCTTCTTTACTAAAATATCTTCACATGATTCTATTAGAAATAAGCTCAATCAGGGAGGAGTGCAAACTAAGGCTTACACTTCGGTTGGTGAAATCCTTAAGGCTAGAGACGCAGACAACGAGATACTCTAGCTGCCGGCACCTCACCAAAACTTTAATGCCTTGTACCTTGGCTTGTAAAGTTGGTTTTTGCACAGAAATGTTGGAAAAATTTCGATTTTCTTGAAATTCTAAAATCACAGAAAAAACATTTTTTTTGAGCTTTCTACAGCTTTTTGCATGATTTTAGAACCTTCAATAATCGAAGTTTTGCGGGGTGTTCAAAAAGTTAAAAACTCGGAAAAGATGGTTTTTGAACAGAAAAACGGGAATTTCCATGAAATTTCCGAAAACTCCTTTTGAAATTCAAACGATCCGAAAATAGAGAGGTTTTCCTTCAAATATGTCCAACTACTAGGTTTCTATCTTTCGTATGAGCCGAGATACAGCAACTTGAAGTTCTGAAGGCCAGAGACGCAGACAACGAGGCACTCTAACTGTTTGCGTCTCTTATAAAACTTCGGCTACATACCCTCTATTGGCTCAATTCTAAAACAGCCCTAAATCTATTTTCATGTTTATAAAGTGGGAAATTGAACCGTATGTACAATCCTAACCGTTCAATGCAAATCGCTCCATTCATGATTTCTCTCTGCGCCCTCTCTAGATTTCATTGTATTTCTCTTTATCCAATTTTCCAGCTCATTGCCTCTATTATCATCTATCATCGTCGTCTTCTTTCTTCTCACTTTTTCTTCACCATATTCCAATCCCAACGTCTTCGTTTTCTACAGATTCTTCCACCCATCATGCACCCATCCGATTGTCTCCTGGCCCTTTCCGCTATCCTTCTACTCACTACCGTATCCCACGTGGCAGCTGTCCGCTGTAAATGCACAAAAGAGTCCGAAACTGTGACATGTACCGATGGAGTATGCGATACTGAAAACGGATGTGAGTTATACAAGACAAACCTACATACCCTTTCCACCTAAATTGGCTCAATCTATTTGTCTTTTCGACCGAACTTCCGGTGCATTTATGAAAAGTCAGAGGAATAAGAGATCTAAGAATAAGAGGAAATTTGGGAGAGCATTGGACAACTTGATGGAATTCTCCTTCTTAATGAGGTTGAGAAGAAAAGGGACATTTGTTTGATTGAAATGGTCAAAGAAAAGAGGTCAAAGAAACTTTTCGAAAAAACAAAGAAAGTAGGTAAATTAGGTCAGAAAGTTGAATTAGGTTAGACATTGTGATGTTTCAAATTGAGGGAGAAGGTATTTTAAACAATACTGTACTCTAGGGATTTTTAAAGGATTGAAGTTTTGGTTGAGGATGTTTTTGATCGATCTCGGACAATTACTATAAGGTGGCGCACAATTACCCGTACTGATAAAAACGGGTAGATCTTTGGACATAAGTATCTTGGAAGCAAGTAAATTGGTGGAGATATAATTTTACGTTTTATGCAAAGCTACGGAAATTTTCACAGCAATTCCTCAAGTATTGTTATGATTGCCCAAAGATGGACGGCGTTCATGAGGGATTTTCATGAGATGAATAAACTTTGACAATCGATAACTCAGCTCAGAGGTGATCAAATTATTTGAAATTTTGCCAGTTTACAGATGCATTAGTTAAATTTTTGTACACCAAATTTGAGCTCAATACAACGCTTCGGTCAAACTTCATGCCAGTAAACTTGAGTCCGGGTAATTTTGCGCTAACCTGTTGGGCATTCATTGGATGAAGCCGTGCGGATTCAGAATTGAAGTTTTCTTAATCTTGTTATGAAATTCTTATTATTTGAATGAAAAGCTACATTTTCGTAGTTGATAGTTTTGTTGCCAAAAAAAAATTGCCAAGAAAAGTTCCATGAAAAAATCATGACTCCTTGAATCAACAGAAAATTTTTCGATTTTTGTTTTGGTCAAATTTTAATAGTTTGGGGAATACCCGGGGGTTTTAATCATTTTTCTGACAATTTCTTAATAAACTGTTATATCTTCATCTGAAATTTTATTCAAAGATCTTGAATTTCGAGCTGAAATAAGCTAAATTGATAATTCTGACGTTTTTTTTCTATTTTAACTGAATTAAAAAGAATTTATTTTACACATATTTTGTCAATTTTCCAATTCCAGTTACTCTATTCCATCTTACAAACCATTCTCATTAGGAAGCGCGTCCCGTTCTCGTGTCACTCCCCATTCAATAACTTTTGCATGATGTTCTATCTGCAAAACAAGTAATTATACTAGGTGTTACTCTCTTCTTCCTATTCTTCTTCTCCAGATGAATTAACAATGACCATCCATTCCTTTCCGATCCGTCTGCCACGCACTCGAGATTATTATAAACAAATCCGCTCTCATTTCTGTGCAGTCACCTAAATCCTAAGTGCAGGCATAATACATATACAAACAGAGACAAAATGGATATAGGGAGGAGCGGAAGCCAGTGGGGACCTGACGGGACCTTCTCGGATATCTCTTAACGTCTTCTTCTTACAGCCTGTCTTATGTTGGATCATCCTACCATGGGTATTCATTACACGTGTCATACAAGAGGATTGAAAGATGGATCTTGCCATAACCGGTAAGTAAAAATAATGACAGCAATCGACCCATGTAAAAAACGTCTAAATTTCAGAACATCTAAAAGTGGAGTATCTGTGAAAATCTGTGGTTGCAATGCTCCAGACTTTTGCAATTTCTCAATGTGGCCCGACAAGTAAGCAATCTATTTCTGAGACTCTCCGCAAAATGTCTCCGGATATCAGGTGTCAGATTGCTCACTCGCGGTAATTCTAGACGCGTGAATCGAATCGGAAGACTAGGTCTTTAAAGGAATTAGAGATTTTAGAAAATGAAAAAAAGTGGGGGAGTAACTTGAAACGAAATGAGTCAAAAGGCCGAATCGGTTAAAAGTTGACCTAGTTTTCTGACATCATTTAAAGTTTGTACTAAAGTCTAAAAAGTCAAAAAGTGCTCATTTATAATGGCTCGAAAGCTAGATTTTGGAAGGGGGGGGGGGGTTTAGAATTTTAGAGGAGTTTTTAGATGAGTAAGAGCATTGAAACATCTCCAAACGGTCAGGAACAGGAAAAACATTATTCTAGCAGGAGTTTTTACGAAACGTCGTCCAAATGCGCTCAAATGCGGTGACCGTAATTCTACAATAAAATTATCGTTTCGCCCCGACGCGAAAGCTTCAAGTAGAACTACTGAGTCGCTACTCAGCGGCGCCTGCATTCCATAAAAAGGCGGGAAACAAAAGATTTCAAAGAACGTTCCGGAAAAAAACACCGTGATTCTGGTACAAATAAATCGGAGCTATGCATGGAAGAGAAACGCCGGTGACCGCGCCCGAAGGTCTCATAACGACAACTACAGTAACCTAAAAATAGTTTTATTTTTTGATGTTTTTTCGTAAGTTTTCAGCCAATTTTCTGTTACTTTTTGCCCCAAGCAAATCGGAAAAGTTTTTATGAAAGTGAAAAGTGGGTCTGAAAACACACGAAAATCGAGAAAATAAATACATTTTTAGGTTACTGTAGTTGTCTTTGTGGGACCTTTGGCCACGGCCACTAGATTTTCATTACACAGCTTCGATTTTTTGTACGAAAAAAAAGCAAAAGCTGTGTTTTTTTTTCCGGGAGGGTTTTCGAAAAAAAAAATTCCCGCGCTTTTTCCGATGAATCTTCAGTTCCTGCTTTCGCATCGAGACCAACGCTAATATTACTGTAGTACATGTATTCCCGTTCGAGCGCATTTACGAGACGTTCCATAAAAACAACATGAAATTCCTAGGACCAGAAACCAATTTAATCAAAAAAGACAACAAAAAACAGGAAATTCGATTTTTCAGATCTGGCCACCACCACCACAAGCATCACCACAAACATCACGATCAGGCGCAGGAAGAATCAATCAACTCAGTTACCCCAATCTCCTCCATTTTCTCCCTTTTCGTCTCTTCCATTCTCTATTTTGTTCTTTAAATTAACTTCTGTAGGGATTCTTTAGAGTTCTCGGACCAACTTCCGTATTTTTTCCAGCTTCTTCCTTGTGATAATTTTTCAAAAAACAACCCCAAACTCTCTCTTCTCCTCCTCTTTTTCCTTCTTTTCATTTCAGTTTTTCTGTCTCAATTCACTGTTCAAAAGGGTACTTCTTCTTTCTCCGTTTCGCATTATTATTAATTTGAATTTTATTCTTTTAAATAGTATTTTTAATATTTACACTGCACATTTATGACAAGACCAATATAAACTTCTAATTAATATCACATATTGTACAGGAAGAATTTACTGAAAAAGAAAAGAAAAGTATATCTTGCTCTGTCCCAAGTAGTTATCAAATACAATCTCTCTATCTTGAGCGGTCTGTCGGTGAGAATCACACAATCGCTTCTGAGTCGGCTGAGATCGTAAGGATGGTTGGCAGGGAGGGGTACTTCCTAGATACTCAGAAGAGATTGTGTGATGGAAACCCCCGAGACAACCTAGGGTCAATATCCCTTGAATTTTCTGAGCTCTGAAAGGCCTGTGTTGCAAAAAATTGATCCGAAGTATAGTTTTGTGAAAATGCTTAATTTTCGTCAGCTTTTCATCCGCTTTTCGTCAGCTTTTCGTCAGCTTTTCATCCGCTTTTCGTCAGCTTTTCGTCAGCTTTTCATCAGCTTTTTCAGGGTCGTTCGTCAGTTTTGTCCGTCAGGTTCGTCCGTCAGGTTCTACCGTCAGGTTCGTCCTTCAGGTTCTACCGTCAGGTTGGACCGTCTGGTTTTTTCGTCAGGTTTTTTTTTGTTAGGTTCTTTTTTTGCTAGGACCGCGAGGCGTCGCTTAACGGTCGAACCTAGGGTGGCTTGATAATATTCTCGCGATTCAGGTGTGTCCAGAAAGAGTCAGGTACTCCAACCTAATTCCGAAAAAATCACATATAAATCTACGTTGGAATAAATCACTTTCTTTTCTGCCTAGAAGAGAGATACTCATAATCCAGAGCCTATAGGTAAAAGAGAGAGAGAGAGAGAGAGAGAGAGAGAGAGAGAGAGAGAAAAGAAACAGGATGGAAAGATACTATTCTCGCGGTTTAGGTGTGTCCAGAAAGAGTCAGGTACTCCAACCAAATTCCGAAAAAATCACATATAAATCTACGTTGGAATAAATTACTTTCTTTTCTGCCTAGAAGAGAGATACTCATAATCCAGAGCCTATAGGGAAGAGAGAGAGAGAGAGAGAGAGAGAGAGAGAGAGAAAAATGACCTAGGGTGCCTTGATACTGTTCTCGCGATTCAGGTGTGTCCAGAAAAAGTCAGATACTAAAACCAAATTCCGAATAAATCACATAAAAATCTACGTTGGAATTTTCATTATCTTGTTTCCCCTGTTCCAGAATTTTTCTCTTTTTCAAATCTTCAAAACCCAGGCTAAAATAAAGTCCTCACAAAGTCACCTTTTTCTCAGAAATAGCGTGGATAAGAAAAAAATTTAGGCTGTTGGACGGGAAGGACGTAAATATTGCTTCAAAAAATTTGTTAAAGATTTGCTTCTTAGAAATAAAAGAACGTCTCCAGAAGACGTCGGCTGATGAAAAGCTGACGACTGATAAGCTGACGACTGGGCGGGGCTTAAGTCGACAACCTTATTAGGGTCATTTCAGTGTTTTTCACCGAATTTTTTCGATTTTTCGGGAGATTCAAGCATATAAGCGTATTCCGCGACTCTTTCACCTTCTTTTTATTTCTTTTTCTGTCTCAATTCACTGTTCAAAAAGATACTTCTTCTTTCTCCGTTTCGCATTATTATTAATTTGAAATTTTTTGCTTCTTTGTTTTGTAATATTTACACTACACGTTTATGATAAGACCAATATGAACTTCTAATAAATATCACATATTGTACAGGAAGAATTTACAGAAAATGAAAAGAAATTAGATCTTGCTCTGTCCCAAGTAGTTATCGAATACAATCTCTCTATCCGCCTTGACTCTGTCGTTGACGAACCATTCCCATCGAAGATCAATCAGTGGTTGTTCACAGCAATAACGATACGCAACCTCCGTATCAGATGGAACGGCAACCGTGGAATCAGATGCGTGGTCAATGAGAAGAGCACCAGAATAGATACGAGCAATTGCAAAAGCGATATGACGAGCAACGGTGTCGATTCGGGTTTCTCCTTGAATATTTGAATCGCTGGCTTTCACAAGAAGCTTCTGAAGCTCTTTCAATGCAACTTCCACTGCTTCCTTCGATTTTTGAAGCTTCGAATCGCCAGATTTCGTGTTGGCAAGAAGCTGTTCGACTCGTTTTCCAAATGCCAACAGGATGTTTTCCTTTCCAGAGAATACACGAAGCACGTCCAAAGACAATACATTGGTGGTGCCTTCCCATATTGGAGTGACTTGAGCATCTCGAAGAATCGTTGGTAATCCGGTGTCTTCCATGTATCCTTGTCCACCAAAGCATTCGATTCCTTCTGAAACCAATGGGACAGCCTGTTTTCCGGCGTAAAGCTTGAGAACTGGAGTTATCAGTCGGAGCATCATCGCTTCCACGTCACTACTCTTTCCAGCTTCTGAGAGGCCAAGAAGACGTGCGGATTCGAAGAGAAGGAGCATGGATCCACGGGTTTCGATTTCAAGTTTAGCTATTGTTGAGGTGTGAAGTGGCCATTTTGACTGGGTTTGTCCGAAAACCACACGTTTAGTTGAGTAGTCTCTAGCCAGGGAGATGATTCTGGAAAAAATCGAATTGGGGTCAAATACAGAGATTTTGCTAATTGATACCTTCTCATATATCCAAGAGATGCAACTGCATTATGAATACGAGTAATGTTCAACATATTCGAAATTCCGGCAACTCCACGACCCTGTTCTCCAATTCTCTCTGCAATGGCTCCATCGAGAAGTAGCTCAGCAGTTGGCAATTGTTTCGTTCCTAACTTGTTTTTCAGTCGAACCATCTGAATTCCGTTCAAATTCCCAGCATCATCCCTGATTCTGAGCAAGAACAGTGATAATCCACGGGATCCTTCCACTGCGTTTCCATCGGAATCGACAACTCTAGCCAAAGTCAAAGCGACGTCAGCATCGATAGCACTGCTGAACCATTTGTATCCGTGCAGGCGGTACTGTAGATCAAATTAGTGAATCGCAAAGAGTCAAATCAAAATCTTACAGTATCCTTATCAATTTGAACCGCATATGTATCACAACCACCAGCTACATCGCTACCTCCTTTTTTCTCAGTCATCCATTGTCCACTGGTCCACGCCTTTGTTGGATCACGGGACCTGAGACGGTCTACAGTTTCAGTAGCGAGTTCATGTTTTCCGTAGAGATTCAGAGAAGTCAACGTTTTCACAGCTCCATCAGTCATTGCCATTGGACACGAAACAAGACCAGCAGATGGTGAGAAAAGGAAGAGTTTGGCAACTTGATGAATGCGACGGACGAATGGATCCACGTCATTTTCATATCCGATGCTGATGACTCCTTCTTCAGCACAAATCTGCTTCAATTTCGTCCATTCATTACAAACAATCAGCTTATCTATTCTCTTTCCCCATGCGTCTTGTTGTTCGAGTCTTGGTTGCTCCAGTTCAGCCTGTCTTCCCAGTTGGTCGATTTCTGAAGTGATTCGATCTCCGAACTTTGTCAAATCCTCAGCCACTCTCAGATATTGTGACTCCGACAGCAACCGTCGAAGTATACGATCGAGAATGGGGTCGTCTCTAAAATTTGATTCAAATAACTTTCAAAATTATTTTTCAACTTACTTGTAAGGATTGTGAAGTGTCGGCGCATCTTGATTGAAGCAGCCTGTTTTTGCATGACTGTATTGGGTGTGTCTGGCGGCAATAGTGGCGTTGGTGGCTGACGATGAGGACGCCATTCTGAAAAAGTCACAACTGATTCAGATGGAATAGAAAAATAGGTTTTACCTGACTGCGTGCCCGATTCGATGCATAACTGAGTGTTGTGGGGGCGGGACTGATAGACTCTGATAGGAAAATTATATTTTGTGACACCGATAAACGAAAATAAGGAACGTGAGACAATCGAAGAACAACTATCAGGAGAAGCGACACAATTTCTCTGCGTCTCCTATCTTGTGCTACCCGTAGTCATAAATGTAGTCAGATCACATATTGTTGTTCCAATGGTCTCAAAAATAGGAACAAAATTATTTTGGAATAGTAGAAGTACCATGTAACTTAATTTCAGAAAGATTAAAAAATACAGTTGTTTTATGAAAAAAGAATATGGAAATTATAACCCAAAGTGTACAAAGTGTAGAAAAAAAGGCAAATTATGTGAGCGGGATGAGATTTGACTGGGAGTGGAGGAGTGGAGGACGGGGGGCTTCCAAATGCGTATGAATACTGGAGTTATTTAGCACAGGATGTAACAGATAATGTAATATTGACTAGGGCTGTCGATGTGAGAATGAAATGAAAGAAGAAGGAAAAGCTCATATCACAGAATAGGTAAAGTTTAAAATAGAAACAAGAAAGTCATTGTCGACTGCAACAAGAGTTCAACTGAGTCTGGGCACGATCGATCAGTTTTATAGGGCCACCTTGGTTTGACGATGAGTTCGTTGCATCTGCCCGGTATTGATGTACTCTGTAAAAATGGAAAGTTGGTTTTGTGATAAGACCATTGAGGTGAAAGTACAAAAATAGTTTTGATAAGCTCGCGAAGTCTGCAGACAAGTTATCCGATTTTTAAAACGTATTGTTCTTGTCCGGCGGAGATGAAGCCGTCGAAAAATTATTTAAAGGCGCATCGTCGTTCCGGACGCGAAAACAGGGTTTTTTTTCGAAAAGAATGCATGTGCCTGTATCTTGATATTGATTTTTTAAACCCATTTTTGACAGCTTTTCTACTTTATAAGGAAATTCGGACGATTATTCAGATGATGTGCATGCTTTTTCTTAGAACAAGTTTTACTGTTTTCACTTCAGGACCGACGATGAGCCTTTAATCTCATTTTTAATCTAATTTTTTTTTCAGTATTAAAGAAAAAACTCACCGCTCATCCGTGATTTTCATATCATTCGTTAGTCGTGTGGCAACTTGCTCGAACAACTGATCCACATTCGTCGCATCGAGAGCAGACGTTTCAAGGAAGTAGTCGAAGTGATTAACCTACAAATGCTCTTTGAAAAAATAAAATAAACAGCGAAAAACATACGTCGGAAAAGTCTCTTCCGATGCGTTCGGGAACTTCTCTCTCATCTCCTTTGTCAACTTTGTTTCCTGCAGACACAGAGAAAATCAATCGGATCAAAATTTGCATTGCCACATACCAACAAGAATTTTTAAAACTCGCCGGTTCGCATAACTTTCGATTTCTCCCAGCCACTCTGGAAGACAGTCGAACGAAGGCTGACATGAAACGTCGTAGACTAACACGATGGCATGTGCACTTCTGGAAAATAATTTCGGGAGTGGAGGAGAGCCATTTTGAGCTAAAATTGGAGGATTTTAAGCCATTTCTCATCAAAATTGGACTATTTTGAGCCAAACTTTGACCATTTTGAGCCATTTCACATTGAAATCGGACTATTTTGAGCCTTTTTAAGCGAAAATTGGGCAATGTTAAGCCAAAATTCAGCCATTTTGGACTATTTTTAGCCAAATTAGACTTCACTGAGCTACTTTTCATCGAAATTCGACCACTTCAAACCAAAATTGGATTATTTTAAACCGAAATTTAACTATTTTGAACCAAAGTTCGACCATTTTGAGTTTTTTTTCGTCGAAATTGAACCATTTGAGAACATTTTACGCTAAAATTGGATCATTTTGAGTCAAAATCGGATCATTTTAAGCCCATTTTGGACTATTTCAAGCTATTTTAAGCAAAAATTGGGCCATTTTGAACTCACCTGTAATAACTCTGCGTAATGGATCTGAACCTTTCTTGGCCAGCTGTATCCCAGATTTGAAGCTGAAAAAAGGTATTTCCAGTCACTCTTGTTATGAAATCGGTAGCTGTTTATCACTCACTTTTATTTTATCGTTCCCTACTTTTACAGTTTTTATCATGAAATCAACTCCGATGGTTGCACTTTGGCCAGGAGGAAATATACCCTAAACGTTTTGCTTTAAAGGGCATCTGACATTAATTAGAAAAATAATACCTGTGTGAATTTTCTGACTAGACATGTTTTTCCAACTCCCGCATTTCCGACAAGTACCACTTTGAACAGGTACTTGTAATCCTCCATCCAATGATGGCGAACCTGAAAAAATGGAAGTTTTTTGTTGTTTTTCTTGTTGTTTTCGGTTTGGAAAAGGTTCTTTGTTGAGAAGAGAGAAGCGAGGGGTTGAGAGACGTGGCTGGGATTTTTGCTTCTCTCGGCCAAAATGCAAAAAAGTACGAGTTAGAGAGCTAACGGACTCATAAAGAGGAAAAGCATGCGCGAAAATCGGGACAACTCATATAATAATAATGATGAAAAATAGGGGTCTCTACATACAGACACAGCAACGAAACGAATGTTTGCATAGCCAATTGCGAGACGCTAAATTCTCTCTCTTCGTTCAGAGGCAAAATCGTTCCCGTGCGGGAATGCGCAGCAGTTCTTTTCGGTGACCAGTCGCCACGCCATGGCCCTTCCCTGTCCTTCATTACAATATTGATTGAGCGGATCGGATTCGAATGGATAGGATGCCCGGTGAGAAGGATGATGACACACGTATTGCAACGGAGAAATTCAACCGCCGGAGAGATCGCAGTGCGATATGTCAAGAGAAGCAGAGAGAATGATTGTGTGCGGACTGAATACCTCTTATATCTGATGACTTTCGTAACTTATTTATGACAAAAATTCTTTAAAAGACTTTCTTCTGGAATCTTTTATCTAGAAATCTAGCGAAAGTTATCGAAAGGTGGTGTACGGTGAAATTTTTTATTGCATCAAAATTTGCAGAAATGCATGTAGATTGACTTAAAAATAAAGAAAAATTCAAAAAAAATTCCTTCATCGAGAAAAACGCATCGAAAAATACGCTGAAAGCCTTAGGGACGAGGTTTTTTCTAGGCCGCCCGGTGAGTAAAAGCGCGCGAATTCAAACTTTTAAAATGTTTTCTCTCGTTTTCACTTTTCGGTTTTTTTCAAGAGTTTTCTAGGTTTTTGTCAATTTTTCTTCCAGATACATCGGAAAATTTGAAAAAAACAGTGAAAACGAGCGAAAAAATTTTAAAAGTTTGAATTCGCGCGCTTTTACTCACCGGGCGGCCTATTAAAAACCTCGTCCCTAAGGGCTTTCAGCGTATTTTTCGATGCGTTTTTCTCGATGAAGGAATTTTTTTTGAATTTTTCTTTATTTTCAAGTCAATNTACATGCATTTCTGCACATTTTGATGCAATAAAAAATTTCACCGTACACCACCTTGAAATAAGTTTTTTTTTCAAAGGAAAAATGTTGTGAACTTCAGTTCTAGGGTCCTATCACGATTGAAACATTCACACTACACGCTCTCCCACAGAACATTTCCGAACTGCAAATTAACTTTTGATCTACAGAAAAAAAGTTTGGCGCGATCACAATTGCAGGCCTGAAACCATAATTTCAGAATTTTTTATCTGATTTTGTGGAGTTCCAAGATGATTCAAATGATTCTTAAAAAATTAATTAGTGGTTATAGATTCATGTATGGTCCTTTTCCGGAAGAAAGAATTTCAAAAATGGTCATTTTTGAAAGTTTTTTACAGAAAAAATCTATCTCCTCTTTCAGTTTTTGACATTTCTAGGAGTTCTATAGCTCAAGAAAACCGCAATTATTTTCTCCACATTTTCTATGGATGAATTTTTAATTTGTCTGATAAAACTTTTTATAATTCAAAAATCTCATGAAATTGCACAAAATAGTTTTGCGTTGTTTTTTGATTATAAAAAAAGTTTTAT